ACACTTTGTGGGTCCTGGATTACTGTTGAAAAGCCCAAAGAGGCCTTCTATGCTTCGATTATCCCTCAGAAGAAGCACCTTCGCCTCGGCTACTTGCACCGAGTTGTTGTTCACAACGAGCAAGTTACATCCCCAAACATTAACAAAGTAAAGCGTATCACTGACTCTTCATAGCGGAACCTCCGATGCCACCGTCAACGCGAAGTAGAAGAAGGCGGAGGTTTTGTAGGAGAATCGCGCGAGATCATGTGCAGATCCTTTGACACGATGATGTCGCTTCTCTTCGATTCTTTGTACATGTCCCAATCCCCTTTGTGCCGAGGCTGACGACAATATGACTTGAAAGTGGAAGCAAGGAGTTGAGTGGGTAGTACCAGAGACAGTGATTAAGACATCGAACGTCACAAGATTGCAGTCCAAACTCGTCGACCCATCATCCGTTCGACTCAATCTAGGGTGGACTTACCATGCAATTGGCATGACAGTCCCGGAGAGTACGGCAAAGATAAGTTCCAAAGTCGTTATTAAGTCTTCATACCAGTCTGCGTATCGACTACTTCCAAGCTTCAGTCTGAAACATAGACCGTGGACTTTGTGCTCTTCGGACCAACAGCACAGTGCATGAGCAGTCCTAATGTAGGTCTCAGGTCTCTAGTCCCCTATTCTCCAGATTATCAGCTCGTAATCGGTGAAATGCAAGAAAAATTGAATGCCTGAAACCCAGAGTGTTTAGCACTGCAACACTAGATACGTTTCAAAGCAGGCATTGAGTCCCTTGAACAATATAGAGTGGAGCAGACTTGCAGGCACGCCAGAAAGATGTACAGCTGCAAGAGTACGCTTTCCAAGAGTATTCAGACCTGCAATGATCGACTAGTGTAGTTTCATCTGCTTGGTACTGTGTCTGACATGGATTTGTTACCTACTTGGATTGGTGCCAAGACGACCTATCTAAGCGCGCCCAACCGCTCCAGACGCGACGCGGGCCGATCTAATTGTCAACACCGATTTGCAATCCAAAGATCTTCTCTAAGTAGGCCATCTCAAAAGGCCACAAAGCTGGCTGTCTCCAATCCATGCATCAGTTCTGATCCCTTTCTCGCAGGGAATCGCGCTGCCTGACGCGTGATCTTGAATCGTCTGCTGAAATGGGCAAACACCGTGGCAAGGCACTTGCGGCGAAGCTGCATTCATTACCTCATTCATAACAACATGACGGGAGATCGCCAAGGAAAACGATACACTGCTGTGCTTGGTGGAGGCTATCTCGGGCGACATGGCTCGAAAGTAGAACCAAACTCTGGCACCCCCTTTGCGGCACATTATCTCATGGCCGCAGGGCTCGGCTTTGGGATTATGGGGTTTTTGGCCTCTCAATTAGGTGGAACAGGCGGTAGAGAAGCATCTCAAAAAATATTTGCTCCCGCCGTAATGAGTATCTTGTCGGGTCTTTGGTTCCTCTACGATCGGTTCCGCCGTGAACAAAGCACGTAGAGGTGGATGCAGTACAAAATGCGGTCTTAGTGCAGGCGACGTCGGTGCATCATTTGCACACAGATACACAGTGTGGGGCCCACCCACTAGTTTTGATCTCATCAATATCTCATCAATATCTTTTGGGAGCCAACGCCGTTCATTAGCCAGAGAAAATCAGCGACATGTCTTCGCCATGCTTTGAAGCCGTTAAGCAAGACATCCGGCTTACGCCTCGACACCCGCGATCGTCTCATCGCCAACCTTGTCAAGCATTTTGCCCTATGGATTGCACGGTGATCCTAATCCTGTCATGATCCCCTGCATCCGTCCAACCGCCCCTCTTTGAAAGGTAACCCTCACGGTCTGCACATGCACTTGTCAGTTGCGTCGCCGCCAGACTAAGTCCCAGCCAAGTACCATCCTCGGGCATGAGGCTTTTAAGTTCGACGAAGACTTGACATTCACCCCATGACTTTGAGACAGGCAGCTTAAATTGGTCTTCACCACTGCCGGGACCGTGGAATGTGCCATGGATGTGGCTAGAAGGAAGGCGGCGAATGGCGCTCATGCAATCTCGAGCGCTGGGCCTGTTGAACATGTAGGGATTGTTTGAGTAGCAGTGCACCTCGCTATTCAGGGTATGATTGCCTGCAAGAAGAGCGGTTGGATTCGTTGCTTGCGGAATGCTCAGAGTGAGAGATTGAGATGTCAAGAGGGCGAAGAGCAGAAGCAAATTCGTCTTGGCGAATGGCATCGCGAACCAAAAAGCTGTTGTTCCCAGGGAGAGTCTTGTTGGTGAAGCAAGTGTCTGTTTCGCTTGTGAAGTGATTGACAATGATGTGTTTGAACCTGTCGAAATCCCGGTTCTATGGCTCTATTACGCGCCTTGCAAGCGCAACGCGCCCCTGCAACTGAGAAAATAAATTCATCTTCAAGCTGTGAAATGATTTGTTCGCCAGCTTGCCTACACCCGCCGCGAGTTTTGCAACTTGCACACTGGCCGCGCCCTGGGGATGCAATGTCACAAGTTCGAAAATGGCTCTCCTTTTGATTCTGATACATTACCCTCCTTTTCCAGGCAACACAGAATCTTCTATACTTCCGGCTTCTAGCAAGGGTTGCAAACGCGACTGCCATGGACTTCATCGGCATTTGGGTCCCTATTCTGCTCGTACTAATTGATCCGGCGTCCTTAGCATATCCATCTAACACGAGGTCACAAAGCCTGAGCCTGACCAATGATGTATCTCTAGGGGTCGTATCGCAGATCAATCTAACAAATTCGGTGCAAGACTACCCAGTCTATCCTACCACATGCTTTCCTCCCCCATCGCGTGGACGTCACGTACGGCAGCCGGACCTCATGAATGTTATATCGGACTGCTCCTGGATTATCAATGAGATCCTCCTCCAACAAGACGGCCTTCTTTTCCAGGACCTCCTCTTCAACTACAAATCCTTCAAAGATCAGTCTGGCAAATGGTACCTCTCTCGATGGCATCGTGATCGGTGTGTCATCATTGTCGCGTGTGTGGAAAAGCACCAGGAACAAACGTTACAGCTTTTCAATGTTGTCCTTGCCGCAAACAAGATCTTGAAAGAATGCGTCCAAGACCAGCAGATTCTTGCAGGAGGGACGACTGCCATCGGTTCACCGAACAATTCTTTTTACGTCGGCGTTCTAGGACTGCAAGACAGCGACGCTGCAAGCCAGTCCAACATATCTTTGTTGTCAGATCTCGATCTTTCCGAAGAGGATATACAACGTAGCGTACTACGCACTACGTCGAATTCTGAGTCGTCAATTGGAGACTATAAGGTCAACTATTCGACCATTTCTCCTGCGCCGAGTGTTAGCGTGGAAAAGAGAGCTTCTGTTCCACCGCACGGCTCTTCGCCCTCGACGGGCAGACAAAGCTTGGTACCAGAAGGCGCACTGAGCACCTCGAACCTGGTTCTGGCCTCAACGAACCTCTCGGGAAGCATCGAAGCACCTCCAAGCTACCCAGTCACCTGTTTCAATCCCTACACCATCCAATTGAAGCCTGCAGCTGTGGAAGATTGCCAGTTCGTCATCAACCAAATCATTCTGAGATACCCGAATCCGATGTTTCTGCAAACTTTTGGCTACACAGCTTCTGCGGACATTGACCTCTCGCAACCACGAAACCAGAAGTGGATATTTGGCCAGTGCGCCATATTTGTCAAGAACCCCGACATGACCCGGACAGACACCTTCCGGATGGTTGATGTAGCATACACTGCGCATGAGATCATGACAAAGTGTGTCGTTGGTGTCAAATATCCCGTGGGTGGTACCGCGGATATTGGTAGCACCGCGCATAATTTCTATGTGGCCGTGGGGGGCGTCCGTGTAACGGACGCCGCATATGTCTCGATAATGCAGTAACTCTCGAGCGTGTGGATCTTCTGCATGACAGGATAGGCACGCATGGTGCGCTTTAGACCTCGCCAAAGACGGCTCTGCCACATGCGACAAGACGCGCATTGGCATTTTATGTCGAAGGGTCGATTCCCAGAACGCAATGGTTTCCGTTCTCCTGCCACAGATCAAAGTTGTGCACGATGATAACCCTATGTCGATTCCTTTCCCTGCTCACCGTAATCGCCTCCACAGCCCTTTCCCTCGCCGTTCCTCCAACATCAGACCTCTCTCCCATCCACCACCCAGTGAACCTCACATCGACAACACCCCCCACCAACGTTTCCTCCTCCTCCTCCCCCTCCGCCAACAGCGTAGCCCACTGCTTCACCAACGCCAGCCCCTTCGCCCGCCGCAGACCCAGGTTCACAGACTGCGGCGCCGCCATCCGCCTCCTGCCCTCCAACCACATCATCGGCAACTTCCACAACGCCGGCGCCGACGACCAGTTCCGACTCCCGGTCCAGAAGACATGCGGCAGCTGCACCGTGGAAGCGAAGATCCAGAGCGGGTTCAGCGAGGACACGAGCACGTGGCTCGGGGTCGGAGCCGCGGCGACGCAGCTGAACATGGCGTGTGTGAACACGTTCAGTTTCCCCGTGAAGATTGGCGGGTGGACGACTACGGGGAGCGTGGAGCGGATCACGGTTATTTTGCGCTACGCGGGCATGAGGAGTGGTCTGGACGCCCTGTGATGGGGGTGGGTACCAGTCTGCTCTTGCATGGCAGCCTTTCACGTTCGGAATAGGTGAATGGGGTGGCGGAAAATAGATTCCGACTTTAGCTGAGTATTAGAAAGGAGCTATTTCGGAATGAATTACCAACTTGAAACACCTATGTCTAGGTCTTTAAATGTTGATAGGAACACATGACTTACTCGCGGCTGTACATGAGACTCGCTTGACGCCGTTGCAGTCCTGACATGGATGCCATTTCCAATGTTCAGAAGCCCGCCAATGTTCAATCAAATTACGAAATTGATCATCGAGACGTCTAAAGGGATGTGAAAGCTATTGTTTTCGATATTGGGCAACATTGCATCAAATCATCAGCTATATATCAAGTCTGCTCAACATCAAACTGCTTCCCCTGCGCTCTGACATAATCCGCCGCCAGCGCCTTCACCCTCTCCTGGCTCTTGCTATCCCCCTCCTTACCCTCATACTCAAGCCATTTCTTGAAGAAAAACTTGGCCGGTCTAGCCTTGAGCGAGGGTCCGCTCCCAGTTACTCGCTCAAAGAGCCGTCGAATGACCTCCTTGTCTCTTTGTTTGATCTCCAAGTCGAGCAGCACGTTCCACAAATCCAAGCGTTTGGGCCATTGCGCAAGCAGTGTTTCGAAGAGCGTGCGCCCTCGTTCTGGATCGCCGTTCGAGGACGTGAATTCCACTTGGGCGAACTTGCTGGTAAGAGCTAGATGCGTATGAGAAGGTAAGGACTGCATTGCCCGAGGTAACAGCGCACGAGCGCGATCTGGAGCCGCTAGTGTAGTCATGAGGAAATTTGCATAGTTGATATAGAGATCTGGGGATTTGCCATGCTTCTTGATCGTAGTTTGGAACAGATCGTCCGCTTTCGAGTCATGTCCAGACTGGATGTAGATGCTTATGAGACGCTCGTGGATCTCTTGGCTGTCATTGTACTGGCATGCCCGCTTGAAGATATCAGCTAAGGATTCATCGGTTCCGTAAGTGTTCTCCAGATTGAGCAGCCCGATCCAAATGTTCATTTTCTCGGTCTCCTCGCGGATGTTGATTGTCTTGAGGGCTCTTTCTGCAATCTCACGCGCTTTGTTGACCTCGCTGAGCTGGAGCTGGAACGCCATATAGCTGAGCCAGAGCACGGAGGAATTTGGCTGGCCGAGGAGAAGGCGTTCGAAGTCTGCGATAGACTGTGGGCCGTTGGCGTCGAGGTCGCCGGTTTTGTCGATTTTGATCTCGGCTTTTCTCCGTTTTTTCTTCTTGAATTGGGATGGTTCTGCGTCGGTCTCAGATTGGGCGTCTCTGTTGTCGGCCGCGGACATGCCGCCGGTCCAGTCGAAACCGCCTGTGCTGAGACCTTGGAGACCGTTTGCAGTGCTGGGAGCTCTAGATTCCTCTTGGGGAAGGTCTACGCCTCCGTCATCCATTCCGAGGTTATCATCTATGTCTTGCACATCGTCCATATTAAATTCATCGTCCGAGGATTGGTCTTCGTGAGCCCCCAGTAAAGCGCCAAGTCCCTTTCTATCCGCCTCACCCATGAAACCATTGCTATCACTAGCATCCCCAATGTCGCTATCTTCTGGACTACTAGCATTCATTGCAGCATCCTTATCTCTGAATTGCTTACCAAAATAGGAAGCCTTCAGTCCGAACGAAATCTGCTTCTTCTCCTTGTTGATATTCAGCACCTTTGCTTGAACTGTATCGCCTTCTTCGTATAGCTTGTTCGGGTTGGCACCGGGTCGGTCAGACATCTTGGTTCGATGGCAGAGACCGCTAACATTGGCAGAGTCATCCACCACGACGAAAACTCCAAAGTCTTCTACCTTTCGGACCTTTCCTGTGATTACTTGCCCCAATTTCATATCTGAGAAAGCGAGAGGTGGTTTGTAGTCCTTGTCAAGATGTGACTTCTTCAAGCTCATCTGGACATGATTGAGCAATGAATCGACAGCGATGATTTTGCCCTCCACCAACTGGTCAATCTCAAAATCCGATTTCCAGTCTTTGAGAAAAGCATCCGATAGATCCGAGATCCTGATAAAGGCGGTAACGTTGCTGGCCAAAGAGACAAAGATTCCGTTATCGGCAACATTCTTGACAAACCCTCTCCTGATATCGTTAACTTTGAGCTGAGATATGGACCCAATATCCGGGTCTTTAACGGGCAATGAGGAGCTTAGGACCTTAGAAGGCCTGGCTGACAGTGTGATCTTCTTGTTGGGAACATCTATGGCCTTGATCCACACTCGGACGGTTTGATTCTTCTCGTATGCAGTCGGGTCAGCTTTGGAATAGTCGTCAGCCAAGTCCACGAGGTGGACTGGTGCAGAGAGCGACTCGCTAAGTTGAACCATGACTTGACGTTCTGTGACTTTGGTGATCCTTCCGGGCAAGACCATGCTTTTGGACAGATTCTTCAGTGTCAAAGAAGCTGAAGACCCGTCGGACCTCGCGGATAGATCAAGTCGATTGTTTTCAACGTCGACCTTCAGTACCTTTGCCCTCAATACCGAACCAATCGGGAAGTTCTTCGACAAATCATTGAGTTGAGATACGTCGTCTGAGACATCAATGGCTCGGATTCGGCCACGAACATTTGGCGAGAGATTGACCCAGAGACAGTCATCTGCAACGTTGTTGACAAAAACAAGCCACGAAGAGCCGGCTTCAACTTTGTCAATCGTCAAAATGTCCAGATTTGTTGAGCTCTGGTTGCTTGACTTTGCTGTAAGTTCGAACACTGGCGCTTTGCCTCGGTGTGTGATCGGCAGGAATCGGTGATTCCTGGAATCGTGCATCCCTAAGATACGAACAGGGAGTATCTGTTTGGTGTGGAATTTCTTCAGAGGAGACTTTCGATCGTTGATTTCTTCACAACTATCAAACACTTCTGAAACATCAATACGTCCTTGCACAGCGTCTGCTAGTTGGACGTTTATCTGTGTTTCCTTGATGGACACAATCTTGGCCTTCGTCAACTTGCCTAGAGTGAAATCTTCAACGCTTGTCGAGACCTCGTCTACAGGATTAGATAAATTCATATCGAAAGAGTTGGCAGCTGCAGCTTTCTTGCTCTCGGACTGTTCAAGACCTGGCAACGCCTTCATTGTCAATAGAAAGCGTCTCTGGCGATGGTCCACAGACAGAATCCGCGGTGATATTGACTGATTCCTGCGCATGCCAAAATTAGGCAGCAGAGCTGCTTCATCGGGTAAATGGTGCTTGAGGAGAAGGCCAGTGAGATCACTCGCGAATTGCACAAAAACACCTGTTGGGGTAATGTTCTGTACAAATCCTCGGACCTCAGAGCCCTCCACTACGTCTTCAAAAGCCTTCACTAATTTGTCCTCTTTTGCAACTTTGATAAGGCTGGGCTTGCTCGTGAGTCTGATCAGGTGCTTCGCTTCTTGCTTGCTTAAGATCATCAGCTCTTTCAAGATTTGGCCCACTCTGATCCTCTTAGCTAAAGAATGGCACTTCTGAGCTGAACCATCTGCAAGATGCTCAATCGGCAAAATCGCTTTCAGTCCTGCCGGTTCGAGTGTTACTATGATCTCCTCGCTGGTCTTTTCTGTTACATTACCGACGGCTGTTTCTCCAGGCTTTAGGCTTTTGAACGCCTCCTGCTGAGCAGCTCCAAATGCTGACGGATCTTTGCACGATACTATCATCCGCTCATCTGACGAATCGACAGTAACGATATGGACATTAACAACTTGACCTGTGCGGAAATGTTGTTTGGGGTCTTGGATGAAGGATTCGCTCATCTCCGATACTGGTAGAAAACCACGTACAGAACCGTAGAATTGTACCACGGCGCCAGATGGCAAGATATTGACAAGGGTCCCAGGAGCTTGAAGGCCGGGCTTCAGGTTCTCGTATGACGTCCAAATATTAGCGTCGCTATTGACAAGAGTTTTCTTGAGGGTTAGACGGATCTGTCTTTTCTCTGGCATCGTAGATAATACCCTTGCGGTGACTGATGAGCCCTCCTTGAACTTCTTCTCAGGATGCTGCAAGCGGATGTCTGCCAGATGTACCTCAGGCACCAGGCCTGTGATGCCTTCTGCAATCCTGACTATAACACCATTTACACCGGTTTCGTTGACCAGCATCTTTTCCACCGTGCCTTTGACCACCTGTCCGACCTTTATATCCTCCATGCGTAGGAAGGCCTGGCTGATGACCTTCGGCTCCATTGAAACTATGAATAACCCATCCAGGGAATTATAGCCAATAATTCGAGCTTTGTGGACTGACCCAAGCTTGTATGCTCCAGTAGATTCCGCCAGAGTCTCAATCTTGCCATCCGATATCCTTGAGATGTGGACAAAGCCTCGAACACCTTTCACTCCGACATCGACGAGCAATCCAGTGCCTTGCTCGACTTTGACAACTTTCGCCTCATTGACAGTGCTTGAGATTGGTAGCATTTCGGTGGGTAACGATTTTTCTGTTACAGATGCAGTGGTTGTGGTCTTAGGTCTCCAGTATACGATATGATCCTGTAAGGAGATACCAAGCTTTTTCTCTTCCGCAGTCGGGAACGTACATATAATGCGCCCCTTGATCTTGCTTCCAGGCGGGTATTTCTTCTCGAGATCTTTGCCGCTCGCAGCAGCTCCTGAGTGTATCAAATCCGCAGTAACGTTGAGCAGACCCATTACTTTGCCAGCGATTCCTGAGGGCGCGGTCTCGGACACCAAGACATCAACGGCCGTTCCGGGTAGGAACGAGTCCACTGTTGGTGCGTTGGTGAGAAAGTTGCCCTTCTTGATATTGCCTATCTTATGTGGATCCGCCGAGAGTTTGATAATGCTGCCAGTGGAGCTCTTGCCAGTGATGAGGCATAGATAGACGGACCCTTCTTCGATGCTTGATATGTCAATATTCGGGCCTAACTCTTTAGACGACATGAAACCCCGAAAGCCTACGTCTCCAGTTCCGAGATCCATTATCAAACCATGATCTTCCACACTTAGTACAGAAGCTTGCACCATGCTGTTCGTCACGTAGTCGGCCTTGTTGAGACCAGAATTTGCCTCTCGAGGATTGATTGAGAGCTCGATGTGTCTCTTGCCTTTCGCGCCTGTGGCTGCTTCTTCCTGTGTGGAAATCACGTAGGCTCGCAGGTACTGTCCAACAGAAAATAGACTTTTGAGGTCGACTTTCGTGTCCGCATCCTGCTCGTCTGCGTTCTCTTCATCTGCTGCCAGGGCTTCAATTCGCTTTGTCAACTTGTCCGATATCGAAGTGAGGGAAACGTAGCCCGTAAGGTTGTTGGGTAGATTCAAAGCGACATCATAACGATTGATCTGAGAAATTTGTCCAAGGACCAATGAACCAGGTACGAGCCGCTGAAAGAATATTTAGTCATCGCTTCGCCAGGTAATTGGCATTTATACCTTGTAGCTCAACCCTTCAATACGCAATGCTGCCTTCTCAACGCCGCCATTTTTCTTGCCCTTGTTGTCTCTAGATTTTGACTTGCTCTTGCTCTTGCTCTTCTCGGTGGGCCCACTAAGTTGATCAGGCATATCCTCATCGTTTTCTTCGTCTTCAAACTCGTTCCGGGCCGCTTTCTTGCCAGTACTCTGCTCGAAGAGTACATCTTGTTTTGCTTGGATCTGAATCCGTTTGTGTTCCAGCGGGGTCAGGATGCTTGCCCCTCCACGAGGAAATGCTGGCTCCTCTTCTCTCAAGATGGACAGCTTCTGAGGGTAGGTGGACGGCTTGTGCTTCTTCGCGAGTCGAGCACCCTCAGCGGCAGCATCATTCTTGCGCTTGATGGGCGCCATAGTACTATCAATTTCTATGTGTCCGTTGCTCACATTGTACGGGTTGAAGTGAGGTCTTTGTTTATACGTGCTGGTTATACTGTGCTGGAGAAATATTCTTTAAATCTTCGCAGGGGAAAAGTACCCGAGAAAGTGCGGCTAGAGCTTCCATGGTTGAGGGCTTAAAGCCGACGTGGTTGCCGAGACGTGTAGCAGCGCGACTTCCCAATCTAGCAAAACGGAGAACATTTGACTCTTCTCCAGCATTATTGCTTTCTGTTGCTTTCGGCTTCCATTTACGATTGTACAACTCTACTATCATTATGACCCTCTAATACTACAGTAATGGAGGATCAAACCCCACTTGGGTCGCAAGAGAACCCTCTATCCAGCCGTGCAACCTCGACGAGCAGAGAGAACCTGGGTTCGTCACCTGTGCTTCCCACCCTGGACAAAAGACATGGCAGCAAACCACGTAAAGCACCAACAATAACACCCAGAACTTTCACGCGATTCTTCACACCAAAGTCTTCCCTGGAACGAGGTGGCCGGATTGGTGCGTCGAGGCAGGCATTGAGAGACATTACAGCGTCGGCGTCAAATCGCAAAGGGCGAAGGACGTCAACAAAAGATACCATACAAATATTCGAAGGCGATGGCGAAGGAGTCGTGCTTGGCTCGAAGAGGAGGAAGCGAAAAATACCTGATTCTCTAGACATGACACCAGATCGCTCGTCACCTCTGAAAAGGATACGTAACCAGTCATTGGAGATTTCGGAAGATGAGGGCAGTGACACAGGTACAAATGAGTCTAGAGACGACGCCGAAGATCCTTTCCGGAGATATGGCAGGCAGCCAAATTCCATTGAGCGCATCATCGGCTCCAATTATCATGGCTGCCAGGGAAGATACTTACGGCGAGAGATCGGTATCCAGAGGAGAGCATCGGAACTCCGGTGCTTTGGTCGTAGCGTTGGGATGTCGGAGTGGCAACAGGAGACGACCCACTTCTCGACCAGACCCGAAGATGCACATGTTTGCATGAATGTCGCAGCGCCATCAGACCACACGATACCGTTCTGTACTACAAGCTGCAACAGTAAGTTTTGACTGAATGCCGTATGTATTGTCTCAGATGCGCTGACTTACGTTTTTTAGCCAACACTCTTGTTGCCATTGGAGACGAGGACGGAGGTGTGAGGTTGCTCGAGAGTTCGAAGGGCGAAAAGCCAGAATTTTCAAAGGCATACTTAGCATTTCGGCCGCATTCAAATGCCATCCTCGACTTAGCCTTTTCTCGTGATGATCTTCTATTAGCAACGGCATCCGGAGATCAGACCTCGCAAGTTATCGACATGCCCACCCAACGAGCCACCTACACCTTAGCCGGCCACGTCTCTTCTGTCAAACAAGTCTGCTTCCAGCCAGGTAGCTCAAACGTTCTCGCAAGCTCAAGTCGCGACGGCAGCGTGCAAATATGGGATCTGCGATGCAAGGGATTTGATGCTCCTGTCCGGGACATCAGAGTCTCGGTCGAACCCTCCAGCATTAGCACTACCCGAAGCTCTGTGCCGAATAAACTGACATGGGCTCGCTCTGTCAATACCATCTTCGAGGCACACGCAAGCCGGCAACCAGCGTCGACCAATGCAGCTGCCAGCGGCAGGCTCGCACCAAGTTTCGATGCACCCTCCAAGACCGAGTCTCCCGGCAGGAGAGGCGACGTTTCCATCACGGCACTCTCGTTCCTGCACCCTGGACGAGAGCATCTTTTCCTCACCGCATCCGAAGCAAACGCTAGTGTCAAGCTATGGGATCTCCGTACCACACACAATCACCGCCGAAGCCGGGCAACACCTTTGTCAAGCACCCGACAGCCCGACAGCCACAACAAGCACCGTCATTTCGGCCTAACTTCTCTGTCGCTAAGTGGCGATGGTGGACGACTGTACGCGTTGTGTAGAGATAACACCATCTATGCGTACTCGACTTCGCATCTGATACTAGGTCATGCACCAGAGCTTTCCAAATCATTCTTGAAGCCCCGAAGATCTGGTGGTTCTGAGAAAGAAGGCCTGGGGCCAATCTATGGTTTTCGACATCCAAAATTTCATGCAACCACGTTTTATGTCAAATCTGCTTTACGGCCTGCAAAGGACGACCAGAGCGAGATGCTCGCGGTGGGAAGCAGCGATGGCTGTGCCGTGATATTTCCGACAGATGAAAGATACTTGCAGCGCTCGAACCACCAGCGGATGCTGTTTTCGGACTCACCGTTTCCAAGAAGCCGGCCCTCTTTAACACGAACAGATAGCGGCACTGGCCTCTCCACTCGCCTGGAAGACACAATCCCCATATACCAGCATGGCTCGGCACTGATTCGAGGCCACAGCAGAGAAATGACTGGGCTGACGTGGAGTCCAAGAGGGGAGCTGGTCACTGTCGGTGATGACTTTGTGGCGAGATGCTGGCGGGAGGATGACGCGTATGCCAGAGATTTACGGTTGGGTGGTGAAAAGGAAGGACGGCGATGGGGTTGTGGGTGGGCTGAAGCTGAAAAGGGGTGGGATGATGACGACGGGTGACTTGGTTTGCATCCGTCTGTTTGCGCGCCTTACATAGCGTCGTGCTCATTGGTCAGAATCCATGCCAGACAGGCAATCAGGGATCCATAACCCGGAAAGCGCGTGACCAGTGACCTTTTCTACGTCGTTGACTTTGAAGGCTCCTTGCCTTGCCGCTCCTCCATCCTCCTCTCCTCCCTCCTCAACCTGTCCACCTCCTCATCCACCAAAGCAATCTCGGCCTCTACCCTCAATAACTTCTCCTTCAGCATATTGCCATAGTCCTCATCGCTCAGTACCGTCAAAGGACTCCATTTCATCTCTGCAAACCACTCCCAGAAACGCTTCCTATCTGCTTTCTTACCTTCTGCCGCTGCCTGAGCTTCAGAAGCAACTTGCGCCGTATGTCGCGCATCAAGCGCGTCATAGACTGTTTGCCCTATATAGCCGAAAAGTGTGAACATGATTGTGCCAGGGATGACGTTGCGCGGACCGCGAAATAGTCCACCGATTGTGCCGCCAGTTATGCCGCCGGCAAAGGTGCTGGCTGTGAGGCGGTCCTTTTGGGATGGGCTGGGGTAGTAGGTGTGGAGTATGGTGGCTCTGGTCGCTAGAGATTGTACAAATGGGTCAGTGTGAACAGGGTTGGAAAGGGTCTCGCGAATGATCACGTCTAGAATCTTTGATAATGACTAACCCCAGAACGTGCTGCCAAGGGCAGACCATTGGATGCCGGCCGCAACGGCAAAAAGAATGGGATGGGCGGAGCGAAGGACACCTGCGACGCTGCCATAGAGAATGCCAGTAGTTCCTGAGGTTATGTGAGCAAAAGGTCTCGATTGAGTGACAGCAACTCATGAATTGATGAGCTGAGCTGAAGATGATCAAACGACAAGCGGAATCTGGGTCCTTCTTTCAGATGAAAGATCGATTCCTCCCACTCATATTTCAATCCTAGCGTGCGTAAGAAAAGAGTTTTTCCAATCTTGGGGCTCTTATCATTCTTCTGTATGTGTGAGGCGACCCGAAGACAAACAAAATCACAAAATAGAGTAGTCATCGGCCAGTTGGTAATTCCTTTTCCAGACAGAAATGGTAGGAGATACAGCCATGTTATGCAATAGTCCATATGTACAAAAGATAGGCTCACCACTCAATGCACCGACTTTCAACGCCGGTATAAGAATCTCTCTGGCTGGAAAGCCATATGGCTTGTTGGGCTGCTCCATTTCGAATAATAATGTCCTCAACAAGCTACAGCCATTTTTGCCTTAGAGTCCATTCACTATAAGAGGTGATCTAGTGATTGATGAAGTACCAGCCTGCATTCCATCTTCGCATTCCATGCAAAGACTGTGAAAATCTTCCTTCAGAGTGACAGAATGACAGAGAAGAGGTTGATAGGGCGTAGCGGCACGCTAGAGGATCGTCGGCTAAAATTAATTAGAGTATATTCTCAAACCCGTACGAATCTCAACAGCAAGATTTCACACAACGGTACCAGATTTTGGTATCACCCGCAAACAACGTGAACAACTTCTCAACAGGTAAATCGCTGCTGCAACTCGCAGCTTTCAGAATCTAGGCCGGTGGACGCTCGTAAGAGCGTGGGATACTGAGCCGCAAACATGGGTAAATTAGCCACTGCCACACCGGTCATGGCGACCTCAATAGGTGCAATATGCTGACAACTTTGTGAATAGCTCCAAAAAAGACGAAGGGCGAGAAGATGGATCTGGGGACATTCCTCACGGATTCGAGTATGCTTTGGAGCCCACGTTGCACCCGCGGAGATGTGACAGCTGCTGACAAGCCTTCCAGCCCTCGGTTCATGGGCCGATGAGATGGAGGATATGCCAATGCCATGTACGTACTTCTTCCAGTTCACCTTATTAAGACTGTGCTAATACTTCGACTATCTAGCTGGTAAGAATCTTGTCCACATTCTGGGGGGCATTCAGGGAAGCAAGGGTGCAGGCTGATTTGTGCAGCACCCAGTGGTCGCGGAGGTTATGGCGGCGATCGTTCATACAATTCTGGAGGAGGTTTTGGGGGCATGGCAGGTGTGTACACGAGTTTGACCATGAGGAGAAAACCAAGAGGCTGACCGAAGAAAGCAGATCGGGGAGGCTACTCCGTGCGCGAGCAGCTACCATTGCCTACCAAACCTCCGTATACGGTGCATCTTGGGAACATGTCTTTTGACGCCACAGAGGGTGATATCACAGATTTTTTCTCCGGCTGTGAAGTGACGAGCGTCCGCATTGTCGAAGACAAGCTGGAGAGAAAGCCGAAAGGCTTCGGTTATGCAGAATTCGCAACATTGGATGGATTGAAGAAAGCTTTGGATGCCAACAATACCCAATTTCAGGGCCGGAATATTAGGGTCAGCGTTGCAGAGCCGCGTAAGTCACATCGCGCTGAGTTTGTATCGCGAGACAGGTCGATTGCTAACTAGTCTTACGCATTGCAGAAAAGGACCGACCTGATGCTCGCGAGTTCGGCGACTGGACACGGAAAGGCCCTCTTGCAGATGTTCCTGGACAGCGACGAGTGTCAGAGAGAGGTGGTTTCGGCTCTGGGCGTGGAGGGTTCGATAGTGCCTCTGATGCTGGCAGTGACCGTGGTGAACGTGGTGAACGTGGTGGTCGCCGAGCTGGGTACGAGCAAGGTGATGGGAAGGTACGAGACTTCGGGAATTGGGATCGCAAAGGTCCACTTACGCCGACTCTACCGACGGGATCAACAGCTCGAAGTTTTGATCGTCCAGTGAGCCGTGATGGACCGCCAAATAGACGGAACTCGCCAGCATGGGGAGAAGGGCGATCCCAAGATGGTTCACGACCTCCAAGGCGTGAGTTCGTGGAGAGACCGCCAGTGGAGCGAGCACCGACCGCGGCCGAGCAGGACAGCCAATGGAGAACGAAAATGAGGCCCGACGCACCGCCTGCTCCGCCCGTGCAACCTGTTCAGGCCGCCAAATCCCCAGCTATTCCGAACCGTGAGCTCAGCACACCGCCTTCTCCGGCCGGTGCACCAGCGGCTCCCACGACGCGTCCAAAATTGAACCTCGCAAAACGCACTGTTTCTGAGGCACCTTCTGATGCGAACTCATCTGACGCTGCACCTGCTGCAGACTCGAAAGCTAGCCCTTTTGGCGCAGCTAAGCCCATCGATACCGCTACTCGTGAGAAAGAGGTCGAAGAGAGACGCCAGATTGCTATCCGTGAGAAGAAAGAAGCAGACGAAAAGGCGCGTGCTGATAAGAAAGCCGCGGAAGAAAAGGCTCGCGAGGAAAAGAAAGTTGCTCGGGACGCCGACCAAGCCAACAAGACTGAGCAAACCCCTGCGTGGAAACAAATATCACCCCAGGAGAAGGTCAACGGCCAAGAGCAAAAGAAGGCCAACGGTCAAGCACAGGAGAAGGAAAACGGCGCATCAGCTCCTCCCCCAGGCAGAAGCTACGAAATCCTTCGAAGGACAGCCAATGAAGACAATGCTGCAGCGGACGAAGAAGATGAGGAAGCTCAAGCGGCTGAAGAGAATGGACTTGTCACGGAAGACAAAGCCATTAAGCCCAAGGAAGTTGTACGAGACGTCCCGGATGGGGGTGCGCAAACGAACGGCTCCTCAGCTGCCGGCACACCTGATCTCAGTGCTGATGCGCTTGAGGGTGATGGCTGGAGTACAGTCTCAAAGCCAGAGAAAAAGAGGAAGAACGGCAACCAAGCTGCTCGTGCTATTGCCTCCTAGACGCCCAGCCCATCGATGTGAAACAGGGCTATCAACCAGATTCTTTACAGCACATGCGGAATTTTCCCATCCTCACGCTTCACCCGAAGTTCTCTCCTCATCTCCATCCATTATCTCATCATTTCACAGGCGTTATGGGTCGCCACCTGACGCGCAGATGCATCGATGTATAGCTACTCGCTTTACATGGACATTCCTGGATACAGCTGGCTGTTGTGGACCACAGAGCTTATGCTCATCCCTTGACTAATCTATAAGCATGAGTGGAAAAGTTTCGCTCAGGCGTCGGATTCTTTCTTTTCAAGTCCTCAGGGGGGTTCCGTGAGCTTGCAGGAGGATTTACGACAGCGGTATTGTCATAGACATGGGGTACATGGCCTACGTTGGTCAATTTTTACATGTACACTAGATTGCAAACAGTTTTTATCAATTGCATAGACTTTCAAAGTGTGGTTTAAGGTGACTGGGTGCCAGGTGAGTTGGTGTACAATTGCAACCAGGATTTTCTGTTGCTACGACATAATTGCATTCAAAAATCCAATCAGTCAACAACCAAACATACAATGCTCACCATCCAAACCATCTCCAACTCACATAACACGAACACATCTGATTTGCAAAGGCGAAAGTGAGTAGTCAACCGGGTTCCGTCCACTTTGAGCGCTGATGGTGTTCCGCATGACTAGGATTGTAGGTAAAGGAGTTCTCGTTGCAGTCACGTGATTAAGGGCTCGGAGTCTGAAACTGGACCCTGTCGATCATTGCGCAAGCGTCCGTTGGTATATGGCAGGGATGAAGGCGCATTGAATTCCGTAATATCGACTTCGTATTCACCAACAGTCATTACAGCTGGTTTACAAATCCACAGACAGGAACTTCACCACGAGGAGCGTCCATCACTTGGACAATCTCTGATCCATCCATTTCTTTCCATTTGAGACTACCATGATATGTCCTCAGTAACCACAACAATACTACAATCTTCGCCTGCCGCACCAATCCCAATCACATCTTTCACCAAGACATGCCACAAATGTGGAGCTGACCTGTCTCATTCACATCCTCCAATCGCAGAAGATGCACAAAGAAGGATTGCAGAGCTCGAGACACAGGTCAAGCTATTGACTGGCAAAGCAACGGCTGCAGGTACGTTCTCTTCTTCCCGTCGGCCAACTACACAAACTGGTCGGCAACATGGCCTCTCCACTCTACATCGAATTTTGGCGCTTCAGGATGCTAAACCTTGCTCTAGTCGACAAACTCGCAGACTACGAAGATGAGCTTCGCCAGCTCAAATCATCCAATAAACCCACCTCCGACCCCAATACAAATGCCCAACCTCCATCCCGGCCCACTTCAGCGGCTGGGGCCCAGCGCAACCATCTCCAGTCTCGAATTTCTCATCTCCTCCCTTCCAATCGACGTGCCACCTCACAGCCACCGTCATCCACCCCAGCAGACCAGACAAGCCACACAAACAACCGAGAGAATGCAGAGCTCTTAACTATGCTTACACGGGAACAGTCGCTGCGACAAGCGGCCGAATCAAGAGTTAGTCAGACAAATGAGGAGCTGGAGGAGCTATCGGCACAGCTGTTTACGGAGGCCAATGAGATGGTGGCTACAGAGAGGAAAGCGAGGGCGAAGTTGGAGGAGAGGGTGGCTGTCTTGGAGGGAAGAGATAAGGAGAAGAGGACGAGGTTGGAGGTACTGGAGAGTAGGCTTGGGAGGATTGAAAGGGTGAGGGAGATGTTGAAGTAAGGCGTTCTACAGGAATTGCATTCTTGGTGTGGCAAGGAGTAACGGCTGGATACCCATCGAGTTGTTTGGTGTAATGGTTGGGGGCTTTTTGTATGCATCGAAGCGTCGTGATCATATCTGTTGTGAGTGAAGAATTTCAGGCACGATGCCAAAGGAGTTGCGGTCGTATGAGCTTGGCTCCGAAAGCTCTACACCGACGAAGGGTCGAGTACCTCTTGCTGAAAGACAATCAATGGCTCAGAAGGTTCATTGTGGACGATACGATAGGCATCAAGAGCAAATGATAGGCTAGGTTGTTCCTCGCAAAGCTGTGATCATGTTTCCTATTCTGGGCGTTCTTTCCCATCGATGGGATAATTGAGGGGTTCTTGCCGGTTCTTGTTCTATCATCGTGACCTCTTTTAAGCACTGCCTTGGGCTCTGTACTTCACTTTCCATCCCCAAACAACAACGTTTTTCCCCGTCTCCTCTTTCTTTCAATCTCCCATTCCTCATCCGACTTTGCAGGACTGGAAGACCCTCACACGCCATCTGAGTTTGTACCATAAGCTCCCAACATGTCCGGTGACCAGACACACGGGCTCATCGCCCCTCCAGATCATAGAGATATTTCTGGGGAAGAGGCTTGGGCCCGAAGGTGCTCTTTGCCTGCTATTGCTCCATGGATTCCTCAAAATGTGAAGACCGAGACAAGTTCCCCACAAGATGCCTTGTCAACACGACTTCCATCCACCCTACATGCAGTTGAAGAGGATCACCAGCCTCAGACTTCAGAAGCACATTCACTCTTGTATTCAATTTCGCAATGGCAGCCCCCACCTAACCAACCTACCGGCCAGCAACCCTCCAAACGACGAACTAAATTGGTGCCAGTCCCACGAACCAGACCACCGTCAGCTCGATTACTGGCCTCAATCCGGCAAAACAAACAGTCATCCACTCAACCACAGGGTCCCCGGCCCCCAGTCCTGCCTAGAAATCCTGGTCGTAACGAGAGGATCCCAGGAACCTACGGAAAGGACCTTCTGGATGGGAGGATAGGTATCCGCCCACGTAACAAGGAAAGCGCCGAGCTTCAGCAACTCAAAAGCTCACGGAGTTCCTGTGATGAGAAAGGTACCGGTCTCTCGCGATCGATGAAGATCATCATTCAACAATTCATGGTGGCCAACGGCTATATCTGCCCCCACCTACACATACCGCATTGGGAGAAGCCCGTATTCCGGGATAGTCTGCGTGTCAGACTCGATCTGCACAACACTTTCATAACCACGAAGGAGACCCGCGATGAGCAGAGGTCAATCAAATCAGCATGGACGAGCGTTGACGGCTACATATCCGAGCAATCGAGGGAGTGGAGGGCTCAAGGTGTCTTCGAACAGGTACAAGTGACGGCTCGACCTACTTTCGCTGCCTTCACAAAGGGCTGGACCGATCGTAATTGGGATGGTAGCACAGGGGACTTTACTCGTGCAAGGAAGTTGACGGCAATGTCGCCTGTAATGTCTGTGTCTACTGATGACGCTGACAAAGAGTCGAAACCAACGGACTCACAAAGATTTCGGGAAGCAAAGCGTAAAGAGATGGTGTTGGACGGTGATACCGAGGCATCAGTTAACAGTTCCTGTGCTAGACTTGAGCCACCACTGAAGCGTTCTGGTCAAGATGGCCCCAACAATCAAGCCAAGAAACGGGCTCGCACCCGTAGCAAATATGAGTATGTCGATCACGTTCACGATGAAGGGAATGGCCTCGACTTTACTAGACCTGAGGAGAAGAGCCTCCCAATAGTCATAGACACAATTCATCATGCCAGAGCTATGATGCTGGACCTCGCTCCCATGTCCGCCAAAAATCTTGCTGTCATGCAACAGGATTGGACATCGCATGGGTTCCCGTCTCTGTTGGCTGAGATGCTGACGCTTGGACGAGCTTATACTGCAACGATGGGCAAATACTTCGACAACGCTTTGTATTTGATGTCTCTCCTGGAGGGATCAGACCATTGGAAGGCAAGTCATATGAAGGTTGAACTGGACTGTGCTTGTCAGAAAGGAGGAGTAGCACCCGAACAATTGCAGAATGAGAGGATACCTGACCCATCAGATCCTTCTAATAGTCAAGTCAAAGTTCGGCACTCACATGAGCGAGAAGATCCAATACCTGACCGAAGTCTAGATGGGAAGGTATCTGACCGGCTGATACCTCAACCTGGTGATACCAAAGTGGACCGCTCATCCCAGGGCCAGGGTGTAGCACCCGACCCATTGCATATAGGAATTGCATCCAACCCGCCGGTAGTAAGGACAGAGATGGCTCAAGTCGATCATCTGGATCAGCCAACAGCTGCGACACCAGACCAAGTGCGTAACGAGGTAATTAACCCAGAAGCCGCAAGTAAGACCACCAAGAACCCCTGTACCTCGTGAGAAAACGGGCTTTTCGATTGATGGGAGCCAGGACCAAAGAGCGTTATTTGTCTCGCTCTTAGAGCTTGGGTGCCCCTTTCTCCACGCTTGTTGCTTCTACCATTGGTCGGACAGCCATTTTCGCCCCCGTTGAGCTCAGGTTCTTCCGCTTTTCTTCACCTCTGATGATATTGCTCTATCGTATCTCTGTAGCCAGGGCTGGGTTCTTGGTCGATAAGTGTTGTTGCTTCTGGAGAAACATTTCGCATAAGTGGCGCATGATCTGAGGTTCAATTCGCTCAGAGCCTAGTAGAAGCAACCTACGTTCATTCAATCAATCAGTAGCAACTCCTCGGGGTATATATCGCATGAAGCCGTTCCCATATGTGCAATGATGCAGTGATCCAACTATTCCGCTCTCGCGCTCCAAAAAGACGGCACCATGCCAACACTGAGGGCACTTCTAGCACCAGCAGCTATCAGCTCCACCATACCCATCGGCAGGACATGCTTCAGCAGTAGCCAGCGCATGCTCGGCTCGTCCTCGTCCTTCCTCCCGTCCAATCTCTGATCCACCCACTGTCCAGCAGCCACCGGATTGCCCGTACCGACCACCTCACTGATCTCCACGACCACCCCAGTCATCGACTGCATGATAAACACCGCTTCCCGCACCACCTCCTCCTTTTCCGCCTCCGTCAACGTCCCCTCGACGGCAGCGAAGCCCGCCTTGAACCCCGCCTTGAGATCCTCCCCATCCGCCTCCCCTTCAAACGTCCAGAATCCAAGACACCCATCCACCCCACCTCCCCCCTCCTCACCTTCCAACCCTTTTCCCAGAGAACCACCGTCGGATCCCCCCTCTCGGACCCCGCGGTGCCAGAACCCGGCTCCGGCCCCCCGCAGTCCCGCCCGTATGTACCGTCCCCCGGAGAAGAGCGCCAGGTAGAGCACCCACGTGTACGCGAGCAGGAGGTGGGGCCGCCCCGACACCGCAGTGCGGATACGCTCCGTGAACGCTTCGAGGCGTGGTCGCCGTCCCGGATCGACCGCCCGTCCGCGCAGACGCAGACGCAGAACCGTCTCCACATCCCCCGTCAACCTGGCCCCCCGCTCCAACCCCCTCGCATACATCCCCCGCAACCCCTTGACCACCTCCTCTGCTGCTGCTTCTTCCCCTCCCCGCCCCACTCCCCTCATCGTCGCCCTCCCCCGGGAAAACCAACCTCCGAAAGGGCCCCTCGAACGCCTCGTAGATCGGCAGCAGATGCGCCATCGCTTGCGCGTAGGGGCCGGGATCCGCGGCGTGCGGGGGCAGAGCGCGGGGGAGGAGGGAGAGGATGAGGGCGTTGAGGTGGGCGTGGAGGGGGCGGGTGGCGGCGTTGATGCGGTGGGAGAGGGGGGAGGGGGGGGGGGGGAGGGGGGGGGGGGGAGGGTGGGCGCGGGGGGCATCGCTCGAGAAGGGGGTGGAAGGATGGGATGGGGTAGGATAGGATATGATTGGGATATGATAAGGGGAAGGAGATAGGGTATATAGGGTATATAGGGAATATAAAGAATATAGGAGGAGGAGGAATGATGTGTGTGATGGTAAGGACTGTGGTTGGTGGAGTGAAGGCAAAATGTAAACATGCATGTATGTATTACCCGTGAATCTCGGGCAGCGGCAGGCCCCGCAGTTGGGGGGCCCTGAACCCTGCCACCCTGCCAAGCCCGGCTGGGGGGATTGGCTGAATGGGCGCCATAAGCGCTTGAAGGAGGAGCTCCCGGGGGGCTGAGGGCTGTGATGGACGCAAAAGTCGCATACGAGTGTCTCACGAGCGTTTGCGCTGGGCCACACCATGCGATAATATACACTTATTGATGGCTCTACCAGTATGCGTAGCTTGAGATACCGACCGATCGCTTCCCTCCATGCCACTTGCTGAAGCCGTAGCAAATGACCATCCCACACGAGCAAGCGAGCCCCCTTTGCTAATATATTGCGCCCACGATGACTCTTCCCAGCCCGAGCTCAACGCTTGCTACCTCGAGTATGAAACGTGAAAAATGAATGCTACCGACCAGCCCAGTAGCGAAAGCATTGAAATTGGTTCTTCGAACATGGAGCGATGTATGGAGACGCCTCGTAGCTCGCACGAGGAAACCGGAGCTTCTAGATCATAGAAACTTCACCGTCGAGGATGGCGTCAAGTAGGACGGTTCCCCGCGAAACAATATGACTCAGGGAAAGCTGAAGTCCTCGCCGACCAGATGTGTTGCCGAGATGCTTCTCGCGTGCTCGTTGCTCTTTGGGCTTAACATGGGTTGTTCCATTCTCTCGTTGCCATACTGGACGTCAACATGAGTCGTCTTGCTGATATTGCCCATAGGGACATCCTGACTGTCAGTGCGGAAAGTATCCTCGCTGCTGGAGCCCAGGCTTGAACCTTTACGCGCAGGAGCTGTGCTTATCATGGTAGACATCCTGGTCCTCTGCGATGGTTTCTTGCTTTCTAGCCGACCCCAGCCGTCGTACGCAGCAGGAGGCGAAGTTCGGTCTTGGGTAGTGGCTCCTATTGGAAATTTGGAGTCAGCGTCCTCCCCCACAGATGCAAGCAGGGCATGTTTGCAGAGTTTGGAGAACGTGAAGAAGAAAGTCTCGCTCCCGAATCATGTCTTGTAACGCCAATTATGGTGCTAATTCGGAGAAAGATGCCCCTGAGTATACGCACCTCGACGTCGGGCTGCGTTCGAGCCGCTGGAATAATCATCAGCGGAACCGCGAGGGAACAGGCGTGGGAAGAGGGCAGTGAGAGGACTCTTGAGCATTGGTAGACAGGCACATATGATTGCAGTGTTGGCCTCGATGGTCGTCCAAATAGTCGAGTTGAGTGTACCGTATATCTGGTCTTTAGCTTTGGATCCAGTTTTGAGGGTGGTCATCCGCAAGATAGATGTGATGCAAACGCTGACTGGCTGTCAGCATAACAAGACGTGAGTCGCTCGAGAGACCTACAAGCCACCCAAGGCGAAGACCATCACGAGACCCAACCGCTGTCGTTGAGGTAGCTGCAGGCTTCTGACAACGGGCATAGGCAGGGCAAGTATCAAGAAGTCGCCGATAATGTTCGCTGAAGCATTCGCATACCAGAAAGCCGTAAGGTTGATGCAAGTCCCAGGGACAGCATGATCCCAGATACGCTCGAGCGGCGTGCATTGTACGACCGTTGCTATGATGCTTGCGAAAGAGTACAGTATCACATAGCCCATGATAACGTGCACCGTTTGGCGGAATTTTTTGGTCGTGAAGATGCGCAGGTAGAGAAGACAGATCGAGGTCTTTGTCAGGGTGATCGTGAATTTGTACAGGATCTGAGCTGCCCAGAATGCCTAAGAACGAAAGGTGAGAAGATTGCGCCAGGAGGAAGGGCTGCTTCCGCTTGGTGTTGATTTACCTGCAAGGCCATGCGGAGGTCTTCTGGTGGAAGACTGGTCGACACCTTTCCAGCTCCGTGGGCGACGCCTATACACCGCTCAGTCTGATGGACATCACGGGAGAGCAGCCAAGTCTGTCTCGACGCAGCGAGCAAAGCAGCGGCGGAGTGACTCACTGACGACATTGCTGATACCAAGACCGATTGAGAAGACCTATGGCATAGAATCAGCAAGGTCACATTCCACAGGCACATCAAGCCGAGATCGAATCTCGTACTTACCACAGAGGCAATGATGGCATAGTCATCTTCGTGCAGCTTGCGACCAGTGGTCAACCTCGAAGCCAGGCGGGAGCAAACAAGGCAGATGGCGACGAAGGTGAAGACGATGGAGATGACAGCGAGATTGACACCGCGGCCATGGAGTTGGTTGTCTCGTGCGTATATGGCAGCCATCTTGCCAATCGCACTTGACTCGAATTGCGCGGGGTGACCTAGGTGCTCGAAGGAAGAAGGTGCGAACCTAGGAAAGGGATATCGTTCATCAAGACGCGACGAGAGGCGCTGAAGGCTGGACGAGGATTAAGAATGGCAGGAAAGCAGTAGGGGGAGATTCGTTCTTCATCGGACAGAGGTGATTTCGTCTGGGAAAGGCGGGGGGAGTGAGAGTAGAATGTTTCGGTTTCAATTTAGATATATCTGTCGAAAAGGGCGGGTTAGCGTGAAGCGAAGCAAGGGCTTTTGCTCTCTCTACTCTGGAAGATGAAGACCCCATCATCTCGAGACCCCGTCTACGCTTGCTTCTCAACGGCAAGAGGCAGACTTCTCAACTACCGTACACTGTTTGACATGGGACTGGTAAATTTCAATCACATTTGCGAGACATTTCGGCGTACGGGATGGTCAACGGCTGCAAAGGACAGGACAGGACAGCAAACATGAATTTGACCTATGCCTATATCATCGGCTTGGCTTTGCCAGACCGGAGACAGTCCCTACGTGGATGTGTGACTTGGCTGGGTGATTCTCGAGTCATCACTTGGGGCAATCAATCTCGGTCCGCACCGGGTTTCCCTCACTGTTCTGTGCTTGCTTGCGTCTGTATCACTTTTCCTGCAGGTATGATGCTACTGCGCTGCACCCCGGAGACAGTACCCGCTGCAGGTAGCCGCGAAGGAGACGAGGACCCATTTATCATGGTCGTGTATTTGAAAACACCATGCCAATCATTTCCAAAGGAAAACATGTCTGACGAACAGCAAGCAAGGTCTACGCATGCAGCTGTCGATCCTTACTTTACATCCAGGATCCACCATCACACTACACATGTCATGGGTGCAGATTCAAGCAAAGGGCAACGAAACGGCCTACGAGCAAGCGTATATCCCAAGCGTTAATGTGAGTTCATTTTGCTTGGCCAATAGACAGGGAAGGTCTTTGCTGTTTCCAGCAGCGGGCAAATCATGCCCATTCCTCTTCGCTAATTATGCGACCTGGGCTACTAGCTTCTACACCACTTCTTGATCCCTAGCATTGACTTCCTCCGCCATCTATCGTCTCATCAATATCAGTAGTCCGAGGCTTTCTTGGGGAAATTTCATATCGTCGTAAGCGGTATATGAAAAGATATACACAAACATAGATACATAACGCTGTGGCCAGCTCATCATACGCGCTCTAACGTTCATCATAACGTCGTAATTCCTCACTGCCTTGCGTGGACAGCCCCAATATGCGACAATGAGGGTCAACTTTTCCAAATAATACTTTGCTGCTGTCCCGAAGTCACCGTCATGGTCTCGTCGCTCCGCAATGCCATAATCATGACAGGAAACTGAGCATCTGTCTACCACCAGCCCAGGCGTATTTTCGACATTCTCGAGGCATGAATATGTTGGGCGTTGCTCAATGAGGAAGCCAATGATCTGTACTGGCACCAGGGGAGCGCCCAAGTAGAAGCGTTTTCAATGTGGTGCCCTGGTGGAGGGTGTAAGTTTTGCTTGTTGAGTAGCTCCTGCCTCTTTCGGATAAGGCTGGGTCAAAAGTATCGTTGTAGTCCGGTAGACACAGGGTATGTTGCCACCCGTATGTCAAGGTGACTGGTCTCACAAAAACCCGGATTCCGAAAGGAGTCTGGAAGTGCGACAACAGTCAGCCACATCCAACTGGGAAGTAAATCAGACGCCGGCTTGTTACAATGACTATGCTGATTCGAGGAACGGTCTCCTTGTTCTTTCGAGATGTCTGAAAATGCCAAGCAGCTACCTCGACTTCCCCGAAAATGACCTAGAACTTGTTCTTGTCTACGAGACCTAAATCCACCAACCTTGTGATTTTCTCATCCTCCCTTTCCCTTGGTTCAACCTGGAGACTCTTGTCGTACATCTCATGCACATCGCCAGCCGCTTGCATGTTGCTCAATATGTAATCCTGCAGGTCGGGCACAGATTTGAGAACGTAAGGAACGTTTTGATATTGCTGGATATCTCGAATGACGTCGGCAGTTTTGGCCCGTTTAGCAAAGTTGATGAGGTCTGTACGTTTGATTACAGAGGGTATGCCGTCTTCAATAAATGTTAGGTCGGTGAGATAGACGCCTGGTCAACGGAATTAGCCGTACTGATCATGGATACTCCGCGAATAACATACCAAAAAAAGGGATGCAAGGAGGATTCGCCAGATGCAGCGCTTCTCTGTACTCCCCAAAGTTCTTGGTACTGTGCATCAACTTTCTCATTTGTTCCAAGACCGTCATCGTTCGAGCATTGACCTGTGCCCAGGTCCGAGTGAGACGACCTATAGGAGCCGTACTAAGGGCCGAGATGATAGACGTCAAAGTCGAAAAGTTGTTCATCGCGCGGCATTTCTGAGCACATTAGTGAATGCAGTCATGGTAACACGGTGACTTGTGCCTACGTCTGCTACGGATACGAAATGCTTGATCACAACTACCCTTTTCTTCACATCTGACTGGTTCAGTATCATCTCCGCAACCCAATTTGTAAGTTGATTTGAGTGCAATATCAAAGCTTTGACATTGGCTGCTGGCTCAGGATCGTCAGGGCCGAGCTTCCTTTGCCAGGTCTTGTTCAGGCATTCCGTTGGTTTGATTTTACCATATAACCTTGACTCGATGATTGTTAATTGTCTCGCAAACTCAGTGGGATCAATGTCCAGAAATTTGAGCTTCTTCATATTTTTCGGCATGATTGGCGTGGGCATCGAGTTGCTTTGAGTTGGGACAAGGCCTTTCGTAGGATCATGTCCCTTTATCCTTCGCTCCACCGAAGTCATCAAAGGCCCAGACCCTGGTGTGTTGCTTGTTGCAATTGAGTCTTTCGCAAACGAGTAGACTCTTCGAAGAAGCTCATTACTGGCCTCATCATTGTTTTCCATCCAATAGCTGTCAAACCAACTTTTGAGAATGTTGACCACTCGGAACCGTATTGGCTTCTGTTTCTTCTCGACCCATGTATTGTATTCCCCTTGCGAGATTCCTGGCGGTGGCTGGATGCTAAAACGCTTGACCAGCATCTCGAAAAGCTCGGAGGCCGTAGTGAAGGATCGGTAGGTAAGGAGGAAGGTGTTGTTGAAATGCGAATCTAGTCGGTCATGCCGGGTCAATTGTTCCACCAAGGCGATCAAGGTACCGCCGCGCAGTTGTGGTGGATTGACCTTGGTATCGTATGAGATTTCTCCTTCGTAGTCAAGTTTCAGGAACGACGGCTCTTCCTCAATGTCTCGAGGTACTTCGCCAAAGAATTTCTTGACCTTCGAATTGTTGTCCTGCTTGCGGTAGTTCTCTGCGGCTGGATCCACCCCCTCCGAATAAGAGACTGGGAAGTTCATCTCTGATATTGTAGGTCGCAACAGTCTGGAGTGATTTGGATATGTGGAAGCTTCATAGGGCGCCCCGCCATCTGTGGTTCGGTGAGGGCGGGAGAGCTGTGTGTCTCTCAGTTCCTGGTGTGTGCTTGATCCTTGTGGCATCGAGTCAAGCAGTAATTGCAAGGAGAACCCGACTTGAGAGGTGCAATTCTCTAATTGCCGTATGGTCACGCGAACCTCATTGAGGCGTTCTTCCAACGGATCGCCCCGGCATTCGGCCCACTCATCCCCCAATGGCGCCGCCACTGCTTGGCAAGCGAGCAATAATTGCATGACGAGATCATACAGCTTTTGTTTTTGAGCCGTGAAATCGATGAGCTGTGGGTTTTGAAACGCAGTGCCCAAAGGAGACAGGTTGATTGACTCAACGGCGGAGAGCCAGGGTCGAAAGAACTCGATGACCTTTCCCGCGGCCTGACAAACCGCTGTCCCAATCTGTCTATGTCGGAAAGGTGTGATGAGCTTCTCCCTTACGAAAAGCTGATCTTCAAGGCGGCGAATATTGGCAACGATTATTCGCTTCAGCTCATCCATCTTCTCCAACAGCGTGCCATCCAAGGTTACGATAGGTTCAACATACGGCTCATACTCGTCTTGGTCCATGAATGAGGTAGCCAACAAAGGATCCTTGATTCCCAGACCGTTGTTCTGCCAGCTTCCACCATTATTGCTACCTAAGAAAAAACCTGGTACCAGTCGTGGAATATCTTCACCTCGCTGCGATCGCGCGACCTCCACGTAGTTTTCCACTCCCAACATAACTTCTTCCGCCTCTTGAAGACATTTGGTGTACGCGTCCTGTGTCGGCCAGTCTGCCGAAGCAATATGCGAAGATAAGACCAACTTTGAGAAGTGAGACATCATGTCACGGAAGTGTGGGTACAGCGCCTTGTTCGTAGAGATAATTGAAGGGTTGCCCGAATGATTGTCAGTGGTGCCTGAAGCAGCAGCGAGCAGCGTTCGAAGATGATCAGATATGTCCTCGGCTTTTCGAACGAATTCTGATCGGTCAGCATTATTGATTGCTTGTCTATAAGATTCGATAGCTTTGCGGATGTTTTCCACGAGCCTAGTCCAGGTCTGAGGTGCGGAGCTGCCGTCGTCGAAGAACGACCGTGATACAGCTGCAGCTGCAGATACCTGGCCCAACGGATTGCTGGTGAAAGACGTTGTGGTCGTACCAGTTCCTCCTGAAGACTGCTGTGTTCCGCTCAAGGCCAGATTCGTCGTCTCAAAACTCCGATTGTGCGCCATTGGCGAGGTATCGAAAGACTCTGTAGATACAGCTGGAGATATGCCATCAGAGATGTAAGAACGCCGCCGCCTTGGCCGCGAGCGCATGGAGGACTCGTCAAGTTCGGATGCCGAATCGCCAGTTTCAGATTCACCTTCATCGCATTCCAAGCCGCGCGCCATCATCTCAGGAGGAGGTCTAGTCTGATCAGGCACGTGGATGTTCATCCGATCTCTTGGGCCAGTCTCGTTGGCCGAGGTGGGTGTCTCTAGCGGGAGTTCCATTGTCGAAATGCCGGTGAGCGTATTGAAATAGTATAATCGCCCATCTGGAGTGGCTTGTGGAATCCAGAAAGCAGCCTCTTCTTGCTCCTTGTCCGCACCATCGATCGACTGTTTTGAGCCGTCATTCCTGGGTGCATGCCTCGTTTCGTACCGATCATCAAAGTCCTCATACTCCTCATCTGTACCAGACTCGCTAACCACATCGCCTCCGTTCATCAGTTGTGGTGCATCTCCTGCTGTAGCCTCCTCTGGACCGGTGACCACCACACAGTAGTTGCTAGGGAACCATCCGCGGACCCCTTTGATGACGCCGTCCCACCAGCCACTCGTCAACTGTGTAATGACTTGTATGGTGTCCCCCTGCCGAAAGCTGAGGCTTGTCCTATCATCCGATTCATAATTGTAGAGTGCTCGAACGTACAAGGCGGTGGGAGGTAGGACTTGGCCGTTCATCCCAACAGACGGCGCGCGACTCCTCATCGCCGACCCTGGAGTGGGTGATTGCTGAGTAAGGGTCTGGCTTGTAGTGGTACGCGCGGGCTCTTCAGTGTAGTGGAAGGTCGCCGCAGCGAAGACGGTGTGGTTGCCGTTTGCATTTGTTCGAGTATTGATGGTCAAGGGTGCCATGCCGTCAGCCTTGTCGAACATGGCGGTGCGCGGAGGGAGTTTGGAGAGTTCGGGGATGCCGTCAGCGGCGAGTGATATCTGCAGGTGGAAGAGGAAAGCATAGGCGGTGCCGCAGAGTGACCCGCGATCGCAGCCTTGGAATTAAATTCTGTCGCCCGTTGCAGGCCTGAAGGATGTCGGCTGATGGTGATTATGCATGCGCGAGTGGTACGGGAGGATGTGATTCGTTGCTCGTCGAGAGAAGGATCGTACCTTTGTAGCCTTAGGTCTTGAGTAATAATTGGAAGGGGTACAGGTGATTCGATCCGGCGATTAAAATAGCGCTCGAAAATCAACAGCAACGCGATGCCAGATCTCGGCTGTCGACAGGATGCAGATACACTTTAGATGTCGAAGGTACAAGTTCAGCGGTTTTGTACGTATCAAAGTGTGTTGGTATCTTGGGTAGGAAGGATGGACTCCCGGGTTGCTGCTGTCACTCCTATCGATTCGATACGGCCGGCGGCAGAAAAAGCAGAAAAAGCAGAAAAAAGCCGGACGGTGAGCGGGTCGAGGCGATGAGCCGAGATCGCACCAAATCATAGGACAACCGACTCAGCCAGTTGCAGTACCGTACTCTACTCTATGCATTTCCACCAGGAGGAAGCCGATTGATTCTGCTTCATATGTGCTATGAAAATTGGTGCTATTTGTTGATATTTCTGTTCTTGCCAGATTCACTTGTATCCTATCCTTGTGCAAGCTCGCAGCTTCCTTGCCTTGACCTATTTGACTGATTGGTGGCAAGCTCGATGCGGCCTTGCCTCCCTATCGATGCTCTCTGCCTTCTCACTACTGTTAACGGTATACTGCTACGTTAGGACACAGCATTAACAAGCCATGCACACCAATGTGTCTCTCGGAGGAATGTCCTTTCCTGGCCTCTCGGCTTGCGTGCTATCTCATCACTTCTTCAACTTTGCGGCATGCCACTGGAGCAATCCATTCTGGCACCCTGCCTTTCACGGGTGACAAGGTGGGATCAGATTGGTCACATTGCAAATATGGCTTCAAGCTTTGCTACGTTTTGAGAAGGCAGAATGTTTACCGGCTATCTACCTCGGCACAAAAGTGACTCTGTTTCTTACAGAGCTTGCTTCTTGTTCGACGATCCTCCTCGAATAATCGTTGTAGCGACAACTTTGTGATCGACATTATTACTGTTCCGCCAGTCTGGTTCAAAGCGGGGCGGAGCATGACAGCTCCTTCACCCTTCTTGGCTCATCATCTTGCCTTATTCTTCTTATGTTGGCAGCCTATTATCGATTGGAGGTGCGAAAGACTTGCGTCATATGCACTTGGGTGTCGAGATCAAGGTCGCCTGCGATTGGCGAGGTTGGAAAATGGAGACTGGCATGATTCCGCGGAAGCTCGGAAGCGAAAGCCCAGCGGGATCAGACGCTTTTGCTAAGGCCGATGTTTGTTCCCCCTGTTTCTGTTCCCCTGTTCTGTTCTCCTTGCGTGAGATTGCCAAACGACGCTTTGACTGGCTCTCGACTTAACATTCAGCCCATCTCTTTTTGTCGTTGAAGTACCGTATAAAAGTGTAGGGTAGGCATAAAGAGAATAGTGATGTATGTACTGCAGCTGGTCCCTGTGGACAAGTGGACCTGCTTTGTGAGTTGTGAGTTGTGAGTTGTGAGATGTGAGTTGTGAGTCGCGAGTTGTGAGTTGTGAGTTGTGAGATGTGAGTTTGTGAAATGTGACAGGTTGGTATGGAGACATCTTGGCAGCAGATCATGCCTCGTGGCATTGCAGGGAATGGCGAATGGCTGAGAGGCGCTAAGCTTGACGTTTGAGCCCGGGGAAGTGGGAATGGCGGATTGTCTTTCCCATTTGGAGTGATCAACAATCTCCTATGATGACCTCAATGCCCAACAAGACCTTGCTTCTTTCGAATCATTCAAATTATTATTCGGGAGAGGATCCATCCACCACATCACTTTAGTAGCAAGAATGGTACCTATGTAATAGTATTCGTATTGATGAATGAATAAATGAATACATGTACTTTACCCTATTCTACTCTAACTTATTTTCGGACGAAACAAAGTTGACAACCTGATCCATCTAGCTGCCTTGATTTCCATCCTGCTTTCCTTTTGAAACCAGGGAAGCACTTGCGAGTTGGAAGGGCTGGCGAGATGTAACTCACACCCCGTATTGCACGCGCCACAGCATACTACCTTAGTACCGACAGCGTAAAAACGTCATCATCGTCGTCTGCTAAAACGTCAAACAGTACTCGCAATTTCGCAAAGTGAAGGAGAAAAGTTGCATTCTTCTGGACTTGGTTTCCGGTCGAAACTCGGGGCAAGACGAGACTCCAAAATCATGGAGAACCGCTATTCCCATAGAGTACAGGCACGGACCCCCAAAAAGGATCGCAACTCTCACCGCCACACACAGATCAGTCAGCCGAAAGGGTGGAAACGCTTAAAGCTCGGTCACAATCATGAAGTCAACACCCTCGATGGCGTTGCTGCTTCTGCGCTGGTTCGCCAGTCAGTGAATGGATCTTCACGACATCTAGCCTCGAGCATGTGGCGACCGATGATTAGCAGACGAGCTGAGGTCAAAGAACCGTATTCTGAGCTATTCAGTGCTTGGGCGTCGACAGCACCATTTTGCACTCAATGAAGGCCTGTCTTGTGTTTTAGGTGTATGTAACGTGGACAAAGATAGCACTGGACAAGGATAAGGTGAGCAACATGACATGCAGACAGGATTTCGGATAGACAGCTAGTCGTATCATAACCTTAGTCTATCCACAGAGTAAGGCAGGAAGTTTCGGCCTTCACCCGCGCAAAGTGGCCCCTCGAAAAAGGGGGCGTACCCCTCCAAATATTAATTATTATGATTATTATTATTGTAGTCCACAATAATCTTTATCCAAAGTTGACATTCTCCTACGCTCATCCTCTTCGCAAGAAATATACCACCTCGAATAGCATCAAACCTCTCGCTCCAAACCAACCGTCGAAGCACGCGAAGTAATTTCACAGCCAAAAATCAAAAAAACCCAACTAGACTCCACAAGATTAGACTAGCAGCCAAGACAACACTTGCCCCATCCCCCAGCGAGCTTTCTCCTCCTCCTACCACGACACCAAAAGGCATGATCGAAGGAATTCCCGTTTGGCATACGTCCAATCCATCGTCATATACCTACCAGTATCAGATAGTCCCATTCGTTTCACACGGGGCATTCTGGTCGACGACTCGATAAGTGTGTTGCAATGCCTGCCGCTGCAACTGCCACAGCGTCTGTCGCACCGGTGCCCAAACCTGCGAAGCCGCAACACGTCCCTGATAAAAAGTACAAATGCCAATTTTGTGCTCGGGCATTCAGTCGAAGTGAACACAGAAGCAGACATGAAAGATCGCGTAAGTTACACCGTACCATTCCTTTTAGTCCATGGAGGGGTCGCTCCATGGTGGGGTCGTGAAGCCCACCTTTTGCCTACGCTTGCTAATTTCATCTTCCTGCGCAGACACCAAAGAGCGACCTTTCAAGTGCGCAAAATGCCGTAGTACCTTTGTGCGACGAGACCTTCTGCTACGACACGACCGAACTGTACACGCCAAAGATGGAGGTGTACCGCTGGTCAGCGAAGTCAAGAGACGGCCGGGCGCAAAGCCAACACCCAAGGCGACTCCCACAAAGCCGTCCATCGACTTGGATACGGCGACGATGGAACAAATAGAAGCAAGCAGTGATGGTATGATTGACGATAATGTTGCTGCGATGATGATTACCAACTTTCATCACAAAGCTACGGCCGCCCTGGCAAACAACCCAAACGATCAACTCGACGAAACCTCGACGCCCTACTCCCCCGACCATACCACCATGTTTGATACGTCGGTCCCCTTCATGCCCGGCATGCCCGGCTCCATGCCCATCAACCAGATGCCGTGGGATCATTTCATGTCAAACTCGGTAATTGAACCCAAAGCTTCTTCAGTCTCTTCCTCAAGCCTTTCTGGCTCGCAAGATTCTCAATTGTCGCAGCTTTCCTTCAACAGTACCAGTACCGTCCAGCCCCATCCGAATCAACTACCGCCAATGATGGAGAGATACCCATCCGGAGGCGACGCCCTCGCCCCCGGACTTCAGTCCCTTACCGGTTCCATGCCCATCTCCGGCCCCGCGACCCCCAACGGGCTCTCACCCTTCCCCTTCATGACCGGACCAGTCTCACCTGTAGATTATCGACGCTCGCCCGGTCCAAGTCAACCTATCACCACGCCTAAAGTACCTCAACTTCAGTCCGACGAAGACTACAACATGATGCAAGAAGCAATGAAGCGATGCGATAACGAACGGACGACCCAACCCAATTTCGAAATTCAATCTCGAGGAGAGATTAATGCCTGTCTCGAGTCATACTTCAAACTCTTCCATCACCATCTACCCTTCTTACATCTTGAGTCTTTCGAGCCTAGCCAAGTGTCCCCAGCATTGCTTCTTTCGGTCCTCTCCATTGGTGCTTTATACTCATTCAACCAGGACAAAGCTTTCATGTTTCATATAGGGTCGAAGCTGCTCGTCAGTCAGTTCCTGCAGAACAAAGAGAGCTTCAGCTCGCGCAAGTGTCCGCTGTGGACAATGCAGAGTACGCTATTGAACATGATATTCGCCAGTTGGAGTGGGGATCCGAAAGGATTGGAATGGGCAGGTTCCATCAAGAGTCTCGTTGCCAACGTATGTCTGCTACTGGCACCTAGGAAAAATACTGCTGACGGATGATTGCAGATGGTCGCCGGCAACCGGTATGAATTGAAGATTCGGTCAGAAGCGAGAGAAGGCGCACAGCCCACCCACGCAGAATGGGTCGAAGACGAAGGGTGCAGGCGCACATACTACGCAGTGTACATCTTCTTCGGTCTCCTCACTCTGACCTACGATCATACCCCAGCTATCAGTTTTAAGGAATTCGAAACCCTGGAGCTGCCATCATCAGAGTCATTATGGAACCTCGAAGTCGTGGATGAAGATTCATGGCGAGACAGCTTGACCGCCTCGACCATCATCACTGTGCGAGAAGCAATTGATAGTCTTTACCAGGGAGATGCAACGCGATACAGCGCCTTCGCAACGAGAGTCATGATCAATGCTCTATTCCTGGCCGTGTGGGAACACAAGCGCAACTTCGAGGCCTTGCAAGATGTGGTCACAGAGTACAAGCTCCGTCTTGCCCTAGAGACGTGGGAAAAGTCGTTGGAAAAATGCGAGCCTGAAACAATAGTTGTCCAGCTGAGCGCACCTCACCAAGGTCACCCACTGATCTTCAACGCCATGGCTCTCTATCGAAATACTTGGGCACGTTTAGAGGTCGATCTGAAGTCAGTCCAAGAAGCCCTCCGATATCATGACTCCTATGAGGTCGCCGCTGCCATGACCAATGCCAGGGACAAAGTCAAGAGATCGCAAGAGATGATCAAGGTCATTGAAGAATGCTACAACTGCATAGAGATCGTCGCACTACAAGGTATCAAATGGGTCGGCGAAACGTGTGCTACGAATTGGAGTGTGGAACATCCTCTGTGCGGTCTGGACCTGATGGTCATTCTCAGTCTCTGGCTTTACCGGTTAGAGCATGATGAAGTAGAAGCAACCACGGAAGAACTGGCCATGTACAACAAAGTTCGAAACCTTTTCGACGATGAGTCGGTAGATGGGTACAGCTCAAAGCTAAGTTCGACTGTCGCTCGACTATGGGGTAGCATGCTTGACGAGGTGGTCGTCTGGGGGTAAGTCACATTCGCGAAACTTTTACAAGGGATCGATGCTGACTCCAATCGTAGAATCACCAAGCTTATGGGCGAGTCGTTCAAACTCCATTCGCAGGCACTTGCCGGCTACGAAGATGCCGTTGCCTCTGGAACAAACGCCAGCACACCCACGATGTCCTCCCAAGGTGTGGACCTCGACATGGACACTACGTTCCAAAGCATTCAGGCTTGATCGATCCTGAGTTCACTCGGCCACATCTCGTTGACCTTTGTTCTCATGACCGTTGCCCAACAGGAGGGCGAGGGTTACGGGACCCCAGACCATAGTTCTCACCGTTGAGCCTCGTCAATGAAAACACATGGACCGTCGGTCTGCCTGTCCCCGTCTGTCTAGACCATGTCCATGAAGAACCCATCACAGCCCGCAATAACATACAAAGCGGGCTGGTCCTGCTCCTCTCCGTTACCACTACTAGTACTTAATACTTTTTGAAACCCAGAGATACCATTTCCTACCTGCGGCTCATGTTTTGATTTCGGCGGCCATTGTGCTAGCGAGCGATGACTTTTTTTGCATCAAATGCTTTGCCATGCTATGTGACCTTCAGCATGCACGGAAAGCTACCCCGGGCACATGGACGGCCGCGACACGCATTCTATGCGAGTCTGATTGTGGACAAGGAGTGGCTGATGAGGGCTAGAGTGGGGACGGTGATGTCGATACGTGTACGATAGTAGAGCTAGATTTCAGATCGAAATAGCAGGCAACGAGAGAGAGCACCCATTGAGCAAGCAAATGTGCAAAGCATTCGTCATCTACGCGAAGAGGGTCCATCTCTACCTGCCTCTCCGTGCACATCCCGTGCTTCTGTCCCATTCCCTACTTCTCACTCGCTTCTGGCGCCGCACCTCTGCATCCATTCCCCAAACCATAGGCAAACGACCCTCCCCGGTCAAAAAGAAAAAAACGCATTCTTCGTCCCCCAGGGTGTCAAGGCCATCCATTCATTCATCCATTCATTCATTCATTCGTCGCATTCGAAGCCCACTTATGTATGTATATATGTATGTATGTATGTATGTATGTATGATATATAAATGATGTATGTATGTATTGCATCTCCCCCAACACACGCCGGAGCCACAACCTCGCTTGCCGATGTCCCTATCTGGCGAGAACACCCACAGTTACGGGTTTCTCGGCCGAGACGACAACATATGAATGACAGCGTCTCCGTTTCTGGGGGCAGGGTAGTTACTTTTTCTTTTCCTTACTTTGTTTAGCGGGGAGGCTTCGCTGCGGATACGGTTTGATTGAGGGAGGGAGGGAGGGAGGGAGGGAGGGGACTTTCTGCTCCGGGGAGCGTTCCGTCGGTGGGAGGCAAGATGTTATTGTTGTTCTATAGAGCATGTAGAAAGCGGTCGGTGATCGGATGTTTGAGTCTGCTCTGTGCAGGGAACGCTATGCAAGTTATGCGTGCCCGGCACACACTGATATCCCATGGCCGTCAACTAATTATATGCTCTCCCGAACTCCGCGGATGCCGACTCAATCCCTTCCAATTCCTGTCATCGTCTCATTATCCGGCAATGCCAATCCCCATCCACCCACCCCCAACAACAAGACCAATCACCCAGAACCCCAGTATCCTCAAGACCTCCACACCCATCGTATTTCCCACAGCATCATTCTTCGCATCCTTCGGATTCACGACCCCAACCACCCCCGTCAGCGTCCCCAGTCCAATCGCCCCACTCTTAACCGGCGTCGCGCTCGCCGCCCCGCCCGCCGCTACAGTCGGTGAATCCGTCGGATCGACCTCTGCTCCTGCTGCAGCTGGTGCCACGGCTGCCGGCTGAGCGGGCGCTGCAACATTACCGGCTCCACCAACGCCTACTGCAACCTGCCGGAGGTCGAGATGTTTGACATGGGGCGTGGGTGTTGGTGAGGGAGCGGGTTCTCGTGGTTCGACGAGGATGGCGTCTAGGGAGCGAGGTAACAGGCCGGCTTTTGGGATGTGGTTTGATGCGAGGATGAGGACGAAGGCGAGAAAGGGGAGGAAGAATATGGGAATGGCCGTGATACGCATGATGGAGGTTGGTTGTGCGGTAGGTCCGCGTTGGCCGGAGGGAGGAAGCTTTGCTAGGTTGCGAGGCTTTTCCGTCGTGCAGCAGCGTTCAAACGCGCCTGGCACGCAATAATGCTTGATTGTGGCGTCGAATGATCCTCCTACTCTTTACGTTCCAGTCTAGACTCAGTCACCGTAGATCTATAGGTCCAAGAATCTTCGCAGAGACGCTCGTAACGGCCTCAACAGGTTGTTGGCAGGGACAACACTGTCAGTCGAAAGGCGCAGGTGTCCTTGACCGTTGGGGTTTCTGCAATCAGCTGTGACTTCTGTGGACCACAAGACTTCAGCCTGAGAAAAGAAGGATAGCGGAGTGGAGAGGGTAGTCGTCCAAAGAGCCAAAAGTTCTTTAATTCAGTTATCTTGGTTGAATGGTTTGGATGCGCGCTTGATGTCGAAGCCTAAGAGCGAATGTAAGGTGACCTCGACGTACCGTCAAGGGATGAGGGTGAATGAGCTGTAAAGACAGTCTAATGATGGGCTGATTGATGAGATGGTGGTTTGATTGAGAAGATTGAATTGTTGTCAGGGGTGCACTGAATAATGAATAAATGATCTGCGGCGGCCAAATGTCATCCGAGTCAAAAAGCGGACGACCGAAAATAAAAATAGAAAAATCAACTTTCTTTACTTCTCAACAGCAATGTCTAATAATGTACCAGTCGCTTTACCCTTCGTTCGTACTGAACCAATTCTGCAGAGTGAGCTCCTACGTCAATCAGATCCAGTCTAGAAGAGAATTGACTGCTATGGATGAACAGCACGAGCTGCAATGGGGTATCTCCTTCGTACTAAACAAGCCGCCCAGAACCAGCAGGCAGGGCAACAACACGCCAGACGCCTAGTATACAGTCCATCTCACATTAACCTGAGTTCCATTCGCCGTCTTACCACAATAGAATCCCCACCACACTTGACAGCATCAGCACCAATGCCAATACCCCCGTCCTCGAGATCTCCAACGCTATCCCCTCACTCTTCTTCTTCGACCCAAACACAGTCTGATTCCCCGTCTCGTTCGCCTGCATGCTGAAGAAAGACGTGTGCGCGCTAACATTTCCATTCGGCGCCTGTGTGACCTCGGGAACAGGGCATGTTGCATTCACCGCTGAAGGACTGATGCAGCGCGTTGACCAGTCCTGCTGCCGTGCAGCATCTGAGCTGTTGAAGTAGCCTTTCAAGTACTCAACCGTAAGGATCGCGTCCTCGGTAGGTGGCCCAGCGCTCCAATTCGGATCACCATTGCTCCAGTGAGACAGCGTGATGTGGCCCGGTGCTGTGGGAACCGCACTGGTCATGGTATCAAGCAGGACACCGTCGGCGTAAAAGTCGACGGCATTGGGAGACCAGTCGAAACGATACTCATGGAAGCCTTCCGAGGGAGTGAAATTCAATTGGTGTACCTGGAATGTGCCGGTGTTTGCGGCATTGAAGCCTGCTTCTTCAGATTCAGGCGACTGAAGGACGAGGTTGACGGGCTGGGACGTGGCATTAAATTCGGAGGACAGGAACTCCATATCGATTTCTTGTGTGTCATTCAAATACTATGATGAGAGATGTGAGCATAGACCACAGAAAGGGAGCAGAAAGGTAGGCTATACCCAGAAAAAAGCGCCACAAGTGCCGGGTGTTCCCGTCACCTTCATGCCAGCACGGAAGCTTCCATAGAGCATATCTGTCCTCGCTGTCGCAAGCTCGGCCATTGGTATCAGTCCATCCTGAGGAACGCCGCCTCTGACAAAGAGCTGCAGACCCGCATCGCCACCATTGACTCCATCGCCTGCCCAGTCATATTGACTTTTGAGTGGATTGGCGACGACGTTGCTAATCGAGGCATTCTTGCCAAACGGCCCTCTCGCGAGTTCAGGGGTAACGGTGTAATTTTGTGGTTGCCAATCTGTGTCGTTGGTGATGTTTGCCAAGTGAAGAAAGTCTGTCTCGATGATGTCTGTGTAGAGAGCGGAATTGACAGTATAACCACATTCGCAATCTGCCTGAACCAATTGGAAAGTGAGGAAGGTAATGTACAAGCTGAGAAGCGATAACGGGACGGGAAACATGATGACGACGATGTAAGAGCGAAGGTAATCGGGATTTCAGAGCATCATTATCATCAAAGCGAGAAGGTGCTCTTGTGTTTCAACTTCCAAGGGGGTTTTGGAAGTCGCGTCGGGTCGCGAATGATGGAGAAGTAGAACTTGTCTCAATTAACGGGAAAGTGTTGAGGGGCATTGATGTTAATTATTGTTGACGTTGTTGAAGCAAGAAATAAGTGTTGATAATTTTGTGGGGCTTATGCAGGTGCTGGCTCTCGAAACAAGATAGATTGTTTGACACGTCCTTTCCGCTCATCCTACCCAATAGCGAGGGGAACATGCCCAAGCTGGCCTCAAATCCTCTTCTGCACCAAAAGTCCTGCACCCGCCAAGAAGATTCTTACGCTCAGACCTCGGATAACGCCCCATCTAAAGGGTTACCTGTGCCTGGACAATTACGCTGGAAGTTCTTCGGAACCGCTCCTAGCCCGAGCCAAAGTTTTCGGGGCTCGATACCCCCATCAAGCCTAAAAGAAGTAAGATACCTAAAGTCCCATCTATTGCGCTGTTGGAAGATATTTCTAGGCTCCCCCCTCTACAGGGCCGCTTTCCGAAAGTAGGGTTAGGGCTGCCACTAGCGCGGGTGCAGGACTCTGTGCAGACCTCCGTACGCCAATCCTCACTGGAGTAGCTTGCTAACCCCTTGATTCCGTGTCCATGGCATGCTATGTTGGGCGGACATTGCCATGTCGCCTGGCCTCTTTTCGGTCTCAATCAATGAGGTTGGCTGAGAGTTCGGAAGCTCCGTGATGCCATAGGTCATTGTCCATTCGTGGGCTTGTGATCAATTGTGCCCGTAATGTGGGACTTTCGTCCCTCGTGCTTGCTGGTTTGGATGAACAAATTAAGTCTTATTATGAAGGGCCATTGATGGTCCGAAGCGGTTCTTTAAGTTGTACACAGGACACGGTGGAACCCTTCTGTCCACTGTAGACTTCCCATAATGATGATCATCAACGCCAATGCTACCCCCACACTCATCGCGCCGTAGAAGTAGGCATGCCTTAATCTCAACCCCTTCAGTTCAGCCGCCCACGTACTGACTGTTGTCAAACAACCACAGAAGCCATCAGACATTCCTTGCAGGACCTGGCAGCCTACAATACCTCCCACTGGCACACGCTGAAGATCGAGGAATATGGCTTCCATCATGGTGCCGAAAATGTTGACAGCGAAAGTGCCGAGAGGAAAAGACTTGATCTTCCCGTTCAGATGCAAGGATGCGTAGAAGCGGAGGAGACATCCCAATGGCGCAAAAACCAAGGCAAACAGAGCCTGACTGCGCCATGTTTCCTGCGCCCAAGACGCGTTGCCCACAGGCCCACCAGGTCGATCAGGGGGCCAGATGGCCATGAATATAGCGCCAAACCAGCAGCCCACGGCAAGCAGAACGACTGAACGGTCAATTACCTTACGCCCGAAGAAGTTTGGAATGGACGGGGTGAACGGCTCGAGACCGAGGGCAAGGTGCGCGCCCAATTGAAGTGCGCCTAAACTCAAGCCAATCGTGATGATCAGGATCGCCAGCAATGCCATGAAGCTATAGCCGGGATTACGGTGGACGTTCAAAGTCTCCGATATAGGGGCAGTTGAGGGGTGTGAGATGGGAACCTGCAAGGCGTTTGAAAGTGCGAAGAAGCAGTCACGCATGAAAGAAGAGAATGAGGTGAAGGATCCGCAGAAGCCGGTAGCTAGGCCGATGTAGAGGGGCATAGTCTTCTTGAGTGCAGCCTGCCTCTGGGCTGCGGAAGGGCTCCGGTCCAACGCTTTGCCTTTCTCTTCGTCATGGCCTTTAGCTTGCTTCGGTGAAGATGGAGGGCCCAATTCTACGCGAAAGAGCTTGCGGTCTTCGGAGAGGAAGCCCATGATCAAGCTACCACCGACATTAGCCCATAGTAGACCTATTTGAACAGGAGCTCCAGGGTAGAAAGTCAATGCCTGAAGACCAAGTCGAGAAAGTGTCCCCAGAATGGAGAAAAGAATGAGGTATGATATCGTATAGATCTCAGTCGCGAGTTTGGAGGCCCGTTGACGCCGTGGAGAGACGTCGTCCTTCTTTGCTTTCTCGTCTGTTGAAGGCGAGCGGTCTTCTAAGTATCCTTGTTCACGCTCATCCTGAGAACCCTCAATGGGCGACGGCGCGGCTATCTCGTTGAGATGATCATTTGATGATGAGCTCGCATTGCGGTCTTCTAGGTATCCCTGTTTGCGCTCTTCCTGGGGGCTCTCGATCGGAGACGGCGCTGTTATTTCGTCAAGGTTTTCATAGTCATTGGGAAGCGTGTAGTCTTCTTTTGACCCATCCTCGCAATCGTTCCGCGTACGACCAGATCTTCCTGGATGGGCCCAAGGTCGACGTTCTTGCTTTTGATCTAATGGCTTCGGCTGGGATCGCGATTGATCCTTGTCTAAATTCTCGCTACTGCGCAGGTTGTCCGTAGAACAATCAAGCCAAAGGCGCGCCCTGCGGTGTTCTGGTGTTTTCATTCTCGTTGATAGGCTCGGCTTCTTCAGCGACGCTGTTTTCGTGTGCTAGTACCATACTGCCAGGTCCATAGCAACAGTGATGGGGACAGGGTACGGAGCTTGACCTGCGGAAGGTGCTGACCTCGGAGGCGCAAACCTAGGCCAGAAAACGCTATCTAATGCTGAAGGGTGCGCCCCACCGTCAATGACGCTGACAATTACGGGAGATCACACACCCACACGGGAGATCGTCCCGTGTTGTCGATTTAGCCTGTTCAAAATCGTCGCAAATGCTTGGCATCAGAAAGTCCTGCGTACCCCTATAGATTCAAATTATGAACTTTATGACTACAAGTCGGATCTTGAAATTCTTTGCGGTGTTGAAGTCGTAAGAGTATCAGCCAAAATTCTTGATATTAAGATTTCAATTACTTATTGAGTAGTATCTAGAATATTCGCGAAGAGATTCTAGAATATTTATAATTCTATATGTCTAATTTCTTTCTATAAACTCTATCCATCTTGACAGCGCTGGAGTCGCAGCGATTAGTATTTTACTTCACATCTGGAAATTTTTATGAATCAAATTATGACTATGAAACTAATAATTTCCATCTATGGGGTGCGTAGGAATTCTGCTGCCAAGCATTTGCCACGTTTTTGAATACGCTAGACGATATGATCAAGCCTGCATGATGCCCCAAGACAAACCTCTTCCTTTTTCTTCCGTTCCTCTGCCTGACAGCTTTCATTTCCAGCAATGGCCTCTTCATCACTTCCAGTCAACGTTCACATCTCGACCCACCCATGTTTGCGCGCCAAACTCTCTCAGTTACGATCCAAGGACGCCAACGCTCGGGAGACAAAGGCCCTAGTGCACGAGATTGCCCTCATCGTTGGCTGCGAAGCTCTCGCAGAATCGCTACAAACAACATCAAGTGGTACTGTGAGCTTTATTTGTACCGCCACTCCATCATCTCCTCCCTAGATCCAACCATGATAGGTTCGGGCATCCTAATGTCGGTAACGAGCAGGCTGAAACTCCCCTCGGCTACACCTACTCCGTCGAGACCACCACTCCCCATGTCGCTCTTGTCCCGATTCTACGTTCTGGGTTAGGCATGCTCGAAGGTAGGCTTGCCCCCATCTCACCCAAGAGTTGGTCTCATCAACTTCCTCAGCACTTCAAACTCTGCTGCCAGAACCCGTTTCGGTCCATCATCTGGGCCTCTTCCGCGAACCTACCAGCCTTCAACCTGTCGAATACTACAACAACCTTCCCTACCATCGTCCCACGTCTGCCAACCCTGACCCATTTCCAGTTCCCTCCATAGCCATACTTCTGGACCCGGTGATAGCGACTGGTGGAACCTCAAGTGCGGCCATACAGACACTGCTGGAATGGGGAGTAAAAAAAGTGGTGGTGATTAGTGTGCTGGGCAGCGAGCAAGGGGTGAAGCGAGCGGCAGAAGAAAATGGAGGCGAGTCAGTGGAGATTTGGGTTGGAGGTGTGGACGGACAGATAAATGAACGAGGTATGATAAGGCCTGGTCTAGGGGATGTGGGCGACAGGCTGTTCTTGACCATTGGAAAATGAGATCCAGGCTGGGCTGGGATTTGGAAAGATAGACTGCATTGATTGGATAGACACCACCGTTGGCTTGAGTCCTGCGCAACGCATTGCGAATAATTTGCAGTAGAGGTGGAGGTACGGCAACATGTACACCAGCCGTGACGCCGATTTCCCACGACTCCATTTTCATTGATCGCGAAACAATCCAAGGCAGACTCCACGGATATTCCAAACTCCGAAGCGATTATCACAAAAACAAATGGAACTGTTCCAAAGCATCTCTTTCATGCCTTTCGTTTCATCTGTCTTCGGTCTCTGCTCCGCAGCCTCTTGGAATCTTCTCCATGCTCTTCAATAACCGGGCGCAGCGCTGTATGCGGCACTGACCCTATTCCCAGCCTTGTCTTCCATGACTCTTGTGTTTCTTGGGTTTGTCTTCTCAGCTAAAATATGTCTTCGCTGCATTTCCCCGGCCTCGGAGCGCTTGTTGTAGACTTTCCAGATGATTAGGTATACAACTGTGATGATAATGAACGCGGCTATGAAGCCAGCCATGACGCCTATCTCGTGCGCAGTCCCAGGGCCGGCGTGAAAAGGGCCCGAAGGTTCATTATCGGCCATTGTGAGGATTGGCGACGGATGTAAGGACTGGAGTTGTTCAGTATGTATCAACAAAGGCTGTCGCTGAAACAAATGGTTTAACACAGAGCGTCACAACCGTGCAGATAATAATTTCACTGAGTACAGAGAGCGAAACCATACCCTCTAGTTGTTTGTTGGAGTGATGGGTCTGCGGGTTGCGACTCTCTTGTCACGGTAGGCGCTCGGATTCGCAGAATTGATGCGATTGTTGCGACGAGCTGTGAGTTCCTAAAGGCGATCACAAGAAGTAGAGGTTCCAATAATTGTCATCAGGTGAAGAGATGGAAGGTTGAAGGCGGAGTGTTGGTTGTCAAACCATCATCTCTTGGCGGAGGAGGCACAGTTCGCTTTCGCTTAGGGTTGCCAATGGGCCATGCCTTCTGCTATCCAGCACTTCATAGTGTACCTACCTGGAGTACTCCACGTTAGAGTGACAAGCCGACAATCGCCTAGGCAGTATCAATCGAAATCTGCCCGCGGAAGACGCGAACAGTGCAGATCGAAGAAAAACGCAGTAGGTTCTCCATCTTTGGGCGTCCATCCAAAATTATACTTAGAAGAACTCCATTCAGTCCGCGCATGTGTTGAATTGAATCCATAGAAAGTGGCCATTGTATCGGAAGAGATTATGATGCAGGCATAGCAATCAAGCAGTCATAGCAGACAAGCTCGAAGAGACAGTGTCGATTTCATCGTCAGGAAATCTGAATCGCCAGATTCGCCTTTGTCCTCAGATTATGCACATCTACCGCGGATTTGGAGGTGACTTTTTATCCGCAAGCGATCGTCGTATGTATTCAGACCAGATTCTCAGCTTGATCGAAACAGAATCCTATGCCTTGAGAGTGCGATCCTCGAACTTGAAAAAGATTGAAACGAAAGTTAGAGTAGGTACCTTAGTAGTAGGTAGGTAAGGTAGTATCTGGTGAATGGAACTTTAGGGCTCTGCTAGCGTATCTACGAGGTTGGGGGTTGGGGGGGGGGGGTTTCTCGGGGGTGTCCCAGGGGGGTAAGATTACCCTTACCCAAAAGCTTGTTCTTTGAATTCCATCTTATCTACTCTAACAACGGCTCCGACATCCCGGTCATCCCGCGCTCGAAAATTGGTAATGGTACATACTCTAGAGTACCAGTTTTACGAGTAATAAGTAGATTGTTCACTTTACTTCTATATCCTCATCCTCTCTCTCTTGCATCTCGTGCATCTCGTGGCCGTATACGAATCATGCCAACAATCCACCCATCTCCTTCCTCCACTTTCCGGGCTGTTTAGCTGCATGCCGAAGCAGTCTCCGAGCATGCCGGCGAGCCTCTACCTTGATGGCTGCTGAACGATCATGGGTATATTCAGTCCAACCTTCCTCCTGGGACTCATTCTCCTCTTGTACCTGGCTTCATTCGTCCTTTTCGCCATCTTACGCATAGCGACCGGTGTTTCCATCCAAAGAATTGGATACTTCTCCCTGAGGCGCATCGCATATATACCTAGAGATGGTATACGGATAGAACTGCGAGGCTTAGGCTTGCATCTTCATCGGCCTACCTTTGCGCAGCCAACATGGATAAGTCTACGCTTGACAGAGCTGAAGGTGACGGTCGATGTCAAGCATCTCGGAACAGGAGCAAAGTCAGAAGGCTCGCACCATGCACGAAGCAATGTACACTCCTCAGACACACCGGGGCGAAACGGATTCTCCTCCTCTACTTCCCCCAAACCCATCCTTCGAACTGTGACCCCAGCGTCTTCGCGAAGTCGAACATGGAAAAGATTGACACAATTAAAGGAGAGGATCAAGCGTTTGCACGAAAAAATACATTGGCTTAGCATGGTTGATCTCACGGCCCAGAATTCAAGTCTAGTATTTGCAGGCATTGGCTGCTTTGAAGTTGGGACGTTTAGCATGGTTGTCGATACTAGGCGCAAGACAGTGGACAGAGGTCGGCTCTTTCAGCACAAGAAGGTTCCTGCTGGCAACCAACGTCCGGCAGAGTGGATGTTCACGGTCAAAGGGATTCTCTTCACGCCCGAAGGAAGAGATTCTCTGGAAGTTGTTGATATCTGCACTCTCAATATCCACGGTTTGCTTTACAGAGATCGCGCGGGTCTGCGCGACACCTCGATATCATTGAAATTGGGCCGAGTTCATATACCATACGACGACCTATTGAGATGCAAGGCTCAAACGGAGCGGTATCGGAAAGAGGCTCATCTGCAACAAATGGAGACGCACAATGGCGACATCACCTTCACCGACGTAATAGAAGAGCTGGATAGGCCGGGAAGCCGGGAAGCAAATATAGTACAGACGGTCTCCGATTCGAAGGAATTTGTCAGCTCCATCTTGCGAGGCATTCAAGAGATTCAGATGGCGGTCAGCTTTGTGGGTATGACGAAAGAGTTCCATTCAATGCAGCCAAATGGATCCCCTCTATATCTCAATGTAGCCATGAACGAATTTGGCATCGACATGCATCGCCTTGACCCTAAGAGCCCTGCGCATCGAATGTATTTTTCCTCAAAGGATATCGCACATCAAGCTTTGCTCGCTGCAATCTCCATCGCAGTGAGCCTCGACGACGGCAATGAGAAACCGGAAAGAGTCCTGTACGTACCAATGGCTACAACAACGGTCAAGACAACTCTGCCTTCGAAGACTGTGGCTTTCTCCGAAGACAATAACGCAGCCGAGCGCAACGCAAATATCCTCTTCGCCAATGTTGTAGTAACTTCGCCTTCGATTGATCTTGATCCGAAACACATGCCCTTGGTCCTTGCGCTCATTCACAGTCTTAGGGAGGAACCCTCCGAATCGCCAGCTACTCATGGCCGATCACAACGACTCCTATCACGACTCTTGCCGAAGGCTAACATCAAATTCTCTGTTCACGAACCCGTGATGAGAGTGGCGTTACCGCCAGCTGATCCCAAGCTCAAAGGGTCTGATGAATACGACCTGATCATCCTGTCTGTCTCCTCGATATCGCTGGATGTCGAGTCATCGCATTTCACGGCGGGCGAGTTGCACTACGCGCTTACGTCAAATCTGCGTATCGCCTCGAACCAACTGTACTACCACACAGCATCTGGCGAACGCCATGAATTACTGGGTATTGACGCTCTCGAGCTCAAAATCCAACTAAACGCTTCGCCAGAAATTTCCGTTGTTGCGACAGGCAATATCCAGACCTTTTCCGTCCATATGGTGCGATCTGAAATCAGTGCTGGCGTACGCCAAATATTTCAACAGCTAAGCACAGACCGCGACGCTCAAACAAGATCGACCAATACTCCTTCAATGGGTCCCGACTTCCTAAGGTCCTTGCCATTTTGGCTTGTCCAGTTTTCTCTCCAGGGCTCCAATTTCGGCGTCGAGGTGGCTGGTGTCGATGCTGAGGTCTCGAAGGATACGCGTGGTGTCGCTCTTCAGCTTGAGTCTTGGACTGCCGAATATAAGATCCAGAGGTCTTCACCTGACGAAAGACCACCATATAGGCGTCATGGAACCATTAAGTCCACGATCACGGACGATCCTGTAATCAAAGTAACGCCTCCGCCAAGTACGAGTGGGGTTTTGCCGAGTAGCACGGATGGCAGGCGGTTGGCAGTACATGTCCGAGGTTTCGAGGGGTTTGTGGTTGAGGACATTGACGTCGTCGAGACGGAGTCTTTCATCTCTCTCCCTCGGTTCGAAGTTGCATTCACTACATTAAGCGATGCCCAAGGACCTATATTTCACATCAATTCCCACACCAAGGCACTGTACCTGCAATATTCGTTGTATCGCTATTATGCAATTGGCGTGGCGACTGGAGTACTTCGAGAAGCATTCGCTAGCGACAAGGAAGCCAGTCATACACCGCCCGATCTTACTTCCCCACAGGCGACGTCTGGAAGCTCTATACCTCCACACAGCCCCAGTCGGAAGGCCGTTCAAGAACTCGTCACGGTCGACGTTAGAGCTGGACTGCTTCAGGTCAAAGCGACTATGCCATCAGATCCGCCAATGATGCTTCAAATATACCGTATGGAAGCTGGGCGACATAGATGGGCAATGCCTTTCATGAAAGCAGAGATGGTGCGTCTTTATGTCGAAGCCCCTCGGATCATTTCGGCCTGGGCAAGGATTACTAGCATCAAAAATCTGCGAGTCGATCTTCGAGAGAACCGCAGAAAGCGGGGAGGAGCAGTCATTCAAGAAAAATCCATCGACGTAGCTATGGACTTCATAAGGCTTGCGGTCCCACATCAGCTTGTCCCACACAAAATCTTCGATAATTTTGCAAACGCTTTGAAAGCGAGTGAACAATTACACCATCGCTTCAAGACAGGAAGTGACGAGTACGTTCTCAAGAAAAGACCAGAACAACCAAAACAGGTGCCGAGAATATCCATTCGAAGCAAAGCATTACTTTTCGATGTTGAAGATGGAGCGTTTGACTGGAAGCTCGGGACGATCTATCGCATTGGTTTGATAGAGCAAAAGCAGCGCCTTGCCCGTGAAGAGGCCTTTCTCGCCAAAGTCAACAATTTGGAAAACCATCATCACAATCGAGCCTCGTCACGTTACCGTCCACAGCCTCATCCGTCGCAAGAGCGTGGCAGGGGCAAGCATTCTCCCCCGCAAGAAGCTCGACGGCGGAGCCGAAGCGTGAAGTCACGTTCTCGCCATAGTTCGGCCTCTCCTCCATCTACTCAATCACATCGAATGCGATATGATCGCGATGGAAGATGTACACTTACGAAGGACGCCAAAATTTCAGCCAAGGAAGCGGAGTACAAACTCCAGAAACACAACTCTGAAAGTTGGAAAAACCGTATTGATGTTGCGTATCATATCCAGAACGCTGGAATGCGAAGGATCCGAGGTATATTCTTCGGCAACGACGACATCCCTGAAAACGACGAGGAGGCTGAAAGCATACTTGCCATGCCGGAACGGCCAGGTCTGATGTCCACACTGATCAGTGATCTGCATATC